GTCTTTTTTAAAAATGTGAAACCTTCTCGGGGGTCCCAAATACCTTTTTAAGATTATGAAACGTTCTCAGGGGTCCCAACTATCTTTTTTCAAGAATGTGAAACCTTTTCGCGGGCCACAAATGTCTTTTTTTAAGAATATGAAATCTTCTGGGGGTACCAACTGTCTTTTTTAAAGAAGGCGAAACTTTCTCGAGGCCCCAAGGCTCTTTTTTTAAGATTATTAAACTTTCTCGAGGACCCCAAATGTCTTTTTAAGAATGTGAAACCTTCTCGATGGTTCCAACTGTTTTTTTTTTTTTAATGTAAAACCTTCTCGGGGGTCCCAACTGGCTTTTTTAAAAATGTAAAACCTTCTCGGGAGACCCAAATGTCTTTTTAAGAATGTGAAACCTTCTCGATGGTTCCAACTGTTTTTTACTTCCCGAGCGTAAGCAAAGGAAGTATTGTAATCGAGTCCGTCGGCCGACTCTCTACTTTTACGTTTTCTCGATCTTTCATGACCCCTAGAAGACGAAGAAATAGGTCTCCCATTTCCGTCTGTCTGTCCGTCCGTCTGTCCGTCCGTCTGTCCGTCCGTCTGTCCGTCCGTCTGTCCGTCCGTCTGTCCGTCCGTCTGTCCGTCCGTCTGTCCGTCCGTCTGTCCGTCTGTTGTCCCGGATTTTTATTAGACAGATAATCTCCGAAAGTACTCGACCGATTGTTGTGAAATTTTGTACTTATATTAAGAATATCATGTAGATGGTAAAACGCTAACCAAAATTTGTCTAATCATCCCCACCACTAATGCGATGACGTCACTTCAAAATTGTACATAGTAAATGGGTTTTCAATTGTATAAAATAACATAGTCCTACACATATAGTTTACAACTCTGAATCGACTTTTCACCCGAAACGTCCAGATTTTTGGAAAAAAAATCAAAATTATAAAACAACATTTTGAAATTTAATTTTTAATCTGCTAACCAGAATGCTTTGAAATGTTGCAGATGTTTTAAGGCTATAAAGAGCATCATAAATCTTTAGTCAAAAAATATTTGCTTATCCCCTCCAAAAACTTGATGACGTCAGCTCAAAAGTTTGTGGAATAAATCATATCTAAAATGTACAAAATATGATGAGTCTGTACTTGTGATCTATCACTCCATTCATATTTTTTGGATTTGCATATACAGGGTGACTCAAAAAAATTAATGAATGCGTAAATATATTTTATTGATTTAATCAGGAACTACAAAACCGAATGCTCTGAAATCTTGCAGATATTTTAAGGTCATAAAGAGCATAATAAATGTTTAGTCAAAATATATTTGCTTATCCCCTCCAAAAACTTGATGACTTCAGCTCCAAAGTTTGCCGAATAAATCATATCTAAAATGTACAAAATATGGTCAGTCTCTTCTTGTGATTTATCATTCCATTCAAATTTTTTCGATTTGCATATACAGGGCGACTCAAAAAAATTAATGAATGCGTAAATTTATTTTATTGATTTACTCAGGAACTACAAAACCGAATGCTTTGAAATCTTGAAGATGTTTTAAAGTTATCATAAGCATGGTAAGTTTTTGATCAAAATGTATTTACTCATCCTTCCTAAAAAATTTATGACGTCACCACAAAATTTTGCTGAATAAATCCTATCTAAAATGTACAAAATATGATGAATCTCTTCTTGTGATTTATCATTCCATTCATATTTTTTGGATTTGCATATACAGGGTGACCCAAAAAAATTAATGAATGCGTAAATGTATTTTATTAATTTAATCAGGAACTACAGAACCGAATGTTTTGAAATGTTGCAGATGTTTTAAGGTTATAAAGAGCATAATAAATTTTTAGTCAAAATATATTTGGTTATCTTCTCCAAAAAACTGATGACGTCGGCTCAAAAGTTTGCCGAATAAATCCTATCTAGAATATACAAAATGCGATGAGTCTCTTCTTGTAATTTATCATTCCAGTCATATTTTTTGAATTTGCATATACTGGGTGACTCAAAAAAATAATGAATGCGTAAATTTATTTTACTGGTTTACTCAGGAACTACAAAATCGAATGCTTTGAAATCTACTGCGAAAAAAAAAACATAATAGGCATGCAGTCGTCACGTTTCCGACAGCGAGGGAAGTACTGTCTAAACTCTTTAGACCAATTTTTTTTTTATGTAAAACCTTCTCGGGGGTCCCAACTGACTTTTTTAAAAATGTGAAACCTTCTCGGGGGTTTCAATTGTCTTTTTAAATAATACAAAACCTTCTCGGAAACGCCAAATGGTTTTTTTAGAATCTGAAACCTTCTCGGGGGTCCTAACTGTCTTAAAACCTTCTCAGGGGCCAAAAATATCTTTTGTTAATGTGAAACCTTCTCGAAGGTCCCAACTGGCTTTTCTGAAAATGTAAAACCTTCTCCAGGGCGCCAAACATCTATCTTAAAAATGTGAAACCTTCCCGATGGTTCCAACTGTTTTTTTAATGTAAAACCTTCTCGGGGGTCCCAACTGACTTTTTTAAAAATGTGAAACCTTCTCGGGGTTTTCAATTGTCTTTTTAAATAATACAAAACCTTCTCGGGAGACCCAAATGTCTTTTTAAGAATGTGAAACCTTCTCGATGGTTCCAACTGTTTTTTTTTTTATGTAAAACCTTCTCGGGGGTCCCAACTGACTTTTTTAAAAATGTGAAACCTTCTCGGGGGTTTCAATTGTCTTTTTAAATAATACAAAACCTTCTCGGAAACGCCAAATGGTTTTTTTAGAATCTGAAACCTTCTCGGGGGTCCTAACTGTCTTAAAACCTTCTCAGGGGCCAAAAATATCTTTTGTTAATGTGAAACCTTCTCGAAGGTCCCAACTGGCTTTTCTGAAAATGTAAAACCTTCTCCAGGGCGCCAAACGTCTATCTTAAAAATGTGAAACCTTCCCGATGGTTCCAACTGTTTTTTTAATGTAAAACCTTCTCGGGGGTCCCAACTGACTTTTTTAAAAATGTGAAACCTTCTCGGGAGAACCAAATGTATTTTATTAAAAATGTGAAACCTTCTCGGGGGTTTCAATTGTCTTTTTAAAAAATACAAAACCTTCTCGGAAGCGCCAAATGGTTTATTTAGAATCTGAAACCTTCTCGGGGGTCCCAACTGTCTTAAAACCTTCTCAGGGGCCCCAAATAACTTTTTTTAATGTGAAACCTTCTCGAAGGTCCCAACTCGCTTTTCTGAAAATGTAATAAAACCTTCTCGAGGGCGACAAATGTCTTTTTTAAAAATGTGAAACCTTCTCGGGGGTCCCAAATATCTTTTTAACATTATGAAACCTTCTCAGGGGTCCCAATTATCTTTTTTCAGGAATGTGAAACCTTCTCGAGGGTCACAAATGTCTTTTTTTAAGAATATGAAGTCTTCTGGGGGTACCAACTGTCTTTTTTAAAGAAGGCGAAACTTTCTCGAGGCCCCAAGTGTCTTTTTTTAAGATTATTAAACCTTCTCGAGGACCCCAAATGTCTTTTTAAGAATGTGAAACCTTCTCGATGGTTCCAACTGTTTTTTTTTTTTAATGTAAAACCTTCTCGGGGGTCCCAACTGGCTTTTTTAAAAATGTAAAACCTTCTCGGGAGACCCAAATGTATTTTATTAAAAATGTGAAACCTTCTCGGGGGTTTCAATCGTCTTTTTAAAAAATACAAAACCTTGTCAGAAGCGCCAAATGCTTTTTTTAGAATCTGAAACCTTCTCGGGGGTCCCAACTGTCTTAAAACCTTCTCAGGGACCCCAAATATCTTTTTTTAATGTGAAACCTCGAAGGTTCCAACTGACTTTTCTGAAAATGTAAAACCTTCTCGAGGGCGCCAAATGTCTTTTTTAAAAATGTGAAACGTTCTCGGAAGTCTTAAATATCTTTTTTAAGATTATGAAACCTTCTCAGGGGTCCCAATTATATTTTTTCAGGAATGTGAAACCTTCTCGAGGGTCACAAATGTCTTTTTTTTAAGAATATGAAATCTTCTGGGGGTACCAACTGTCTTTTTTAAAGAAGGCGAAACTTTCTGGAAGCCCCAAGTGTCCTTTTTTAAGATTATTAAACCTTCTCGGGGGCCCCAAATGTCTTTTTAAGAATGTGAAACCTCCTCGATGGTTGCAACTGTTTTTTTTTTTTTAATGTAAAACCTTCTCGGAGGTCCCAACTCACTTTTTTAAAAATGTAAAACCTTCTCGGGAGTTCCAATTGTCTTTAAAAAATACAAAACCTTCTCGGGGCCGCCAAATGGTTTTTTTAGAATCTGAAACCTTCTCGGGGGTCCCAATTGTCTTTTTAAAAATGTAAAACCTTCTCAGGAGCCCCAAATGTCTTTTTTTAAAAATGTGAAACCTTCTCGGGGGTCCCAACTGTCTTTTTCTTAAATATGAAACCTTCTGGGGGTCCCAAATATCTTTTTTAAGATTGTGAAACCTTCTCAGGGGTCCCAGCTATCTTTTTCAAGAATGTGAAACCTTCTCGGGGGTCACAAATGTCCTTTTTTAAGAATGTGAAACCTTGAAGAGAGAGAGAGAGAAAATCCACGATAATTGCTTGGTTTAAAAAAAACATTTGTTAAGCAGTAGTGACTTTGACAATTATTTTATTCCACAACCAATAACATTCTTTTAACTTGCCTTCCATGTCCTGACCTAGCCTAATCTGACTTGATGTGACCTACCCTTATTTGACCTGACCTGATCTTCCATAATCTGACCTAACCTAGCCCAGTCTTACTGATCTAGTATTCTGGCCTAACTTGCCATGTCTTGGTCTGGCCTACCCTGACTTGGTCTGACCTACCCTGACTTGACCTGACCGAGATGGTCCAACCTAACTTGACTTGACCTGACGCAATATTAAAAGAACGATTAGGCGCGAATTTTAAATTCAACTCTGACCATAAATAAGAATTTGACACCCAAAAACACACTGTTTTCTGGGTGTCCCACTTCTTGGAATCACCACATCCTCTCCTCTTTCCAGGAACCATCCGCATGAACTACATGACTCGCCCCAGCCCCACGTCTTCGACCAACACCTGCTACTCCAACCTCCCGGACGAGATGGGTTACCACCGCGGCCTCGACTCGCGCCGCTGGAAAGGAGACGACCTGCGTTCGGTTTCCTGACAAAAGCAGCTCGGCGGCCAGTCGGAGGACAAGCCCGACAAGAACTCCGTGCGCCAGCGCCGCACCTGGATCTAGTGCCACACCTCGCGGTCCAGCCGGCGCCTGCCGTGGACGCGCGAGGAAACAGTACACGAGGTAGACAAAGATTTAGTCGAGACGAGGATGTAGAAGGCAACCTGGCTGTGAAGAGGAGGCAAGGATGGATATACTCACAGGGTACTTTTCTTTTTGTGTTTGACTTGTATGTACCTTAACTACAACATATCCGATGGCTCTAATAAACAAGTAATACTGGGTAAATGTAAGTGTCGTTTTCATGTGTACATTCTGTTAGTTTTACAAGTTTAGGAAAATGTTAGCGCTAAGGACAAAATTTTTAAAAGACGATTCCTTCTAGGTGGCTAATCTGTCGGGAAAACACAAACGCTTTGAAGTTTAAGCCATTTAACAATTGAAGCTTTAAATGTTACTTCTTGTTCCTTTTATTGCCACTACTGTTGCGGTTTCAGACGTTATAGTTTTATATGTACCTTCTACTACAGGAAAGAATTAATAAGCGGACGACACTATGTGACCAAATATGTGATAAATTAAATGACTTCAAAAGTATATAGGAGGCGGCGATGCTGCTAAGACATATATTTTCCTTCCTTGTATATATCAAGTATTTTCCTCATGCTGCAAGACGATGCTATCAAAATCCAAAAATAATAATAATAAACACATGTAGTCAAGTCTTCCTGATCTTAGTTCACAAAATCTTCAAGCGACTGCTTACGTCATAGCATTCTCGTGGAGGATGAGGCAAACCACATAATGTAAATTGTTCGTTTAGTGTTGTATACCATGTAGCTAAAAATACACAACTATGCGTAGAATGTACCAAAGTATCAAAATAAATGCACATTAATGTATCTATTTAACACTTTATTTACTCCTCCTACAACTTTCCATATAAACAGTCTGCGAAATTTACTCTAAAGTTGGCTATTTTTGAAATCTCCTGTTGTAACAATCCATGCAAACTCAGTCCATCGTGTTTGTACACCCAACAATTATCTTTCACGACAAAATCGTACCTCTTTGGTCCAGAAATAGGAGAACTCAACCATATTTGCCTATTCGGGGTTTGTCTATTGATCACGTAAGTCCCATGCCGTGGCCCCAAATTAACAGTCAAAACTCCATCCTAAAAGCAACAGTTTATAAGTTAATAAACAAAACATAACCCCACTTTTCATCAAATGACACTAATGACACTGACGTTTCACACGGGATTTACGTGACGTCACTTGACAAACAAGCATGCCAACTGCACAGCGAACCTCACGATCGTCGCAAATCAAAAACTTTATGTAGCATTGAACTGGGTTTCTACTTACACTGTATGAAACATCCCCCGACTTGAAACTATCATCTTCCTCTACAATTTGTTCAAAATATTCCGTCAAAGACTCCAACGTTTCGTCGCACGCTTTTTCGAACGTTAAAGCATCCACTAAATCACCAGAAGTTGAAAACCTTGTCACACATAGACATAACCTAGAAAGTTCAATCGGCCTGGACACACACAGATTTCTGGTCCTAAACAAAGTTTGCGCACCAACACTATTAAAATAGGTAAAATTTCGGCGGTTAATTCTAGCGCTTAGATTACGAACACAAACAAAACTTCGCAAAACCCTTGTCATTTTGGGGTTGGAAATTTTTAGGTTATGTCACTTGGTGTGCAGGCAACCAACAATACACGTACTAGGACTTGCTTTATTTTCGCAGCGTGACCTTTCACTAATTGAAATCATGTTATTTGTAGCTATGTTTGATACGAACTCTAATAAAGTGTTATTTTTAATTTTCGTTGTATTTGTGTGCACCAAGATTTTGGATTGTAGTTGGCCACATCTACTCACTGTGGTTGGTACAATCGCACGCCAATGTTTTGAGCCTATGGGCGGATCATTTTTGCCGGTCGTCACCGAAGGAGGCGGTCCAAATCGTCCAAGGGTAGAATTTGTAGGTAGGCTCAAACTACAACGAAATTTACGTGTTGACCAAATTCTTACTCTGAATTAGTTTTAATTTTATAAATACCCTATCTAAAATGTTCAGAATATGATGAGTCTATACTTGTGATTTACCATTCCATTAATATTTTTTGGATTTGTTTATACATACAGGATGACTCAAAAAAAATAATGACTGAGTCAATTTATTTTATTGAAGAAATCAAGAATTGCAAAACTGAATACTTTGAAATCTTGTCAATTAATCTAATCTAATATTAGGTCTAATTGTGCCGATCATAGTTATAAAATTCACATTAAAGTAAGTCACGGACATTTTTTGAAGAGTACTACATTTCAAAAAGCAAAAAAAATGTTCAGTTTATAAACTTCATAATTTTGGTTTAAAGTTTATCAATCATATTTGACGCTTTATTTTATCCATTCCATTTGTTATCCTTTACTGCGGTCTCTCTTAGTGAACTCGTTGTGACCACTGAAATATACAAAGAGTAAATTTTGAAATGGAACGAAAGTCGAAGAATACTTTCAAAGCCACGATCAAAATGTATTTGCTTATCTTCGCCAAAAAATGCATGACGTCATCGTAAAATTTGATATGATGAGTCTATACCTGTGATTTATCATTGCAGTAATATTTTTTAGATTTACTTATACAGCCTGTCTCAAAAAAAGGTCACTTCGATTTTCGATTTTTCGTTTTTTCGACCGACAGTTTCATCGAATTAGATTTTTTTGTTTCCATTTTTCTATCAACTTTTCGATTTTATTACTTTCTAATTTTCTGATTTTTCAAATTTGCGGTATTTTGATTTTTCGCGTTCAGTTTTTTCGTTTTTCGATTTTTTAATTTTTCGTTTTTTTGATTTTTCGATGTTTCGATTTTTTAATTTGCCATTCTTTCAATTTTCGATTTTTCGTCTTTCCATTTTTAGATTTTTTGCTTTTTCTGTTCGTCAGTTTTTAGACTTTGCAATTTTTTTGCATTTTTCGATTATATTTTACTTTCCGATTTTTTTGATTTTTGAATTCTCGATTTTACGTTTTTAATTCTTCGATTTCCGATTTTTCAATTTTCCGGTTTTTTAATTCTTCTATTCTCGATTTTTCGATTTTCCATTAATCATAAAATTTTTCGATTTTTCGGTTTTATTTTTCGACCTTCGATTTTTCAACTTTCGATTATTCGATTTTCCATTTTCTGATTCTACGATTTTTCGATTTTCGTTTTTCCGCTTTTGTGGTTTTTCGATTTTTCTGTTTGTTTCAGTTTTTATGGTTCTGCAATTTGCAGCTTTTAGATTTCAATTTTGTTACTTTCCGATTTTCCACTTTTCGATTTTTTGATTTTTTTTCGATCGTCGTTTTTTCGATTTTCATTTTTTCGATTTTTTGATTTTTCAATTATTAGGCCTTGCAATTTTTTTACTTTTCGCTTTTTCGAGTATTTGTTTCATCGAATTTTCAATTTTTCGAGTTTTCGATTTTCGATTTTTCGGTTTTTCCATTTTCCGATTTTTCGATTTTCCATGTTTAGATATTTTTCGATTTCTTTTTATTTTTCGATTGTTCTGTTCGTCAGTTTTGAGACTTTGCAATTTTTACTTTTCCACTTTTCTATTATTTTAGTTTCGGATTATTCGATTTTTGAATGTTCGTTTTTTTCTCATTTTTCGATTTCCGATTTTTTAATTTTTCGATTTTTCGGTTTTTTAATTTGTCGATTCTCGATATTCCGATTTTCGATTTTTCGATTTTCCAATCTTCGAATTTTCAATTTCCAGTTTTCGATTTTCCACTTTTTGATTTTACGATTTTTCGATTTTTCTGTTCGTCAGTTTTTAGGCTTTGCAATTTGTTTACTTTTCGATTTTTCGATTATTTTACTTTCCAGTTTTTTGATTTTTGAATTGTCGACTTTTAGAGTTTTCAATATTATGAATTTTCGAATTTTTGGTTTTTTGACTTTTCAATTCTCGGTTTTTCAATCTTGCAAATTTTCGATTTTTCAGATTTGTGAATTTCTAGTTTTTCGATCGACCTACGTATTAGATTCATTGAATTTTCGATTTTCGGTTTTTCCATTTTTAGATTTTTGATTTTCGAATTTTCGATTGTTCAGTTTTCCATTTTTCAGCTTTTAGACTTCAATTTTTTTACTTTTCGATTTTCCAAATTTTCGAGTTTCAATTTTCATATTTTTGATTTTTCGATTTTCTTTTTAAATCTTTGAATTTTTCGGTTTTGATTTTTCGAATTTTTGATTTTTAATTTTTCCATTCTTCGGTTTTTAGACTTCAATTTTCTTTCTTTTAAATTTTTCGATATTCTATTTTCCGCTTTTCAGAATTTTCGATTTTCAGTTTTCAGATTTTCGATGATTAGAATTTTGGATTTTTCAGTTTTATGATTTTTCGATTTTTAGAAAATTTGAGTAGTCGAATTTTCGATTTTTCAATTCATCGATTTTTTTATGTTCAATTTTTCAATTTAAATTTTGCGATTTTCAATTTGTCCATTGTCGATTTTTAGAATTTTCGGTTTTTCAATGTTTCCATTCTCAACTGTTAGACTTCAATTTTGTTACTTTCCGATTTTTTGGTTTTCGATTTTCCAATTTTGAGAATTTTCAAGTTTCTTTATTCAGATTTTCCATTTTCCACTTTTTCGATTTTAGAGTTTTCGAACTTTTGTTTTTCCAATTTTTTGCTTTTTCGATTTTTCTGTTCGTTTCAGTTTTTAGGCTTTGCAATTTTTTTTACTTTATATATTTCGATTATTTTAATTCCCGATTTTTTTATTTTTGTTTTTGATTTGTTTAATTTTCAGTATTACAAATTTTTGACTTTTCGATTTTTTGGTTTTCCCGTTTTTCAATTTTCGATTTTTCGATTTTTGAGGTTTGTGAATTTCCACTTTTCGATCGACCTAGGTGTTTGATTCATTGAATTTTCGATTTTTTGATTAGCCGTTTTTAGATTTTCGATTTTTACGATTTGTATTTTTCGATTTTCTGTTTTTTGCATTAGTGAATTTCAGTTTTTCCGATTTTTGATTTTGCGCATATTTGATTAATCAAATTTTCGAAAAAGTTACCATGCTTACAAAAACTTCAAAACATCTACAATATTTCAAAGTATTCAGTTTTGCTATTCTTGATTTCTTCAATAAAATAAATTGACTCAGTCATTAACTTTTTTGAGACACCTGTATAACCAAATCTAAAAAATATTAATGCAGTGATAAATCACAAGTATAAAACTCATATTTTATACATTTAACATAGGATTTATTCTCCAAAATTTTGAGGTGACGTCATAAATTTTTTAGAGGGGATAAGCAAATATATTTTAATAAAAAATGTATCATGTTTATCATGATTTTTGAAAACATCTGCAAAATTTCAAAGTATTCGATTTTGCAAATTCAAAATTAAATTGCAAAATATTGTTTTATAATTTTGATTTTTTTTCCAAAAATCTAGACGTTTTGGATAAAAACTCAACACGGAGTCATAAACTACATGTGTAGGACTATGTTACTGTATACAATTTATAAACCCATTTACTAAGCATAAATTTGAAGTGACGTCATCACATTATTGGTGGGGATGATTAGACAAATTGAATAATTTTGCGACATTTATGAAAAAAATATCAGTTAACAAAAATGGCACGTTTTTATTATTATGCCAGTTACATGTCACTCAACGACAATATCGTTTTTTTTTTAAGAGTAAAATGTGAATTTCGTTGTAGTTTGAGTCTACCTACAAATTCTGCCCTTGAAGGATTTGGACCGCCTTCTTCGGTGAGGGCAGGCAAAAACGATCCGCCCATAACCTCAAAACATTTGCGTGCGATTATACTATGGATTATGGTTTGGACGATAGGAACGTGTTACCACAAAATCAAAAATCGACCTTAGGACTTAGAAGCGTCAACATTTGTCACTTCTATGTACTTTAATGTCACTGTAACGTAACAATTTTTGACGGGCAGTGCAATAAACTTAGAAATAATAAAGTTTCGTCCTATCGTAAAACTACTTACAATATCAAAGACAGTGTAAACTTAAAATACTGTAGAAAATTTAAAAACTACATAAAATAACATTAAAAATGGAAATCGTACTGTACAACGTAGCAAAATTACGTAACTTAGTGAGGTTCTTCGCTCAATTCGAACATATCTTGTTCAAGCGGTTTGGAGATCCAGTGGCCGAGTCCGGCTTTAAGAAAAGCTTGATACAAGTTTCCCTTCGCCAACTTAAAAACAAAAAAAAACTTAGTTTCGCATCTCAATATAACCAATCAACTCACTTTATACGTCGCCACGGCTTCCTTAGCCTCAGCGTACACAACAGGTACATTCTTCTCCACCTCCGTAATACTCGAAACCCTCCCAATCAAACTCACGAACCTCTTCATCAACTCGTGTTTGCAGAACCTGGACACCCCATTTTCGGGCTTCCCTACATTCGTGTTAATAATTTCGGGCCTGGACGCTCCCGCAGTCCAAATAACCGAAAAATTCGGCGCCTTACTCGGCTGCCGGCTCTCGCTGGAAGTCAAAAGGAACATGGCGGGTCGGTTCAACCGAAACGGTGGTGGAAGCCCTTGAATCGTCTCTTGAATCCTCCCGAATAGCGCCCTAAAAACTCCAAATAAGCTTCTCCTTACACATTTTCACGACCTACCTCTGTAAGTGCGACTCTCGCATCAAACTCCCCAGAATAATCGACTTTATGTACACCGGCTCGATGAAGTGCGACAACAACGCTCCTTGCACCCCGGTGACGTTCCACCTGCAGATTTTATCCGAGCACGACATCGTCAACAATCTCTCCCCTTGCAAAATCCCGTCCCAGGTCTGTATCAAGCTCGCGTTGACTTTCACCGGGATCGTGCCTTCGCCGGATTCGATTTTGGTGCGCAGCTGCCCCCTGGAGCTCCGGTTGGGGTGCTTGTCCACGGCGCCGTCGTCGTCCTCGTGGGGGCTGAAAATCCGGGCGTCCCCACACGGTGCCGTGTTTATGTACAAGTGGAACTCTAGCCCATCTTTCAATCTGTAACCTTTCCTGTCTTCGCGGGGCGTGAAAATCGAGGGTTCGTGGTTTTTCGCGACCAGTTCGAGTTGGTCGTAAAAGTAGTTCATTAGACATCTCCGAGCGACGATTTCTGCGTGCATGTCGTTCAAAGAACATCCGTTCATGCTTATGTGCTCCCCCGAGACGCATTTTGTACCTGTGGTGATCGAAATTATTTCGCAGTCTGTTAGGTTGGTGCCGTGACTCATGACGATGCCGGCGAGGACTTTCCGTTTGGCGTGAATCGGGTCTTGGGACATTAGCGAGGCGAATTTTTCTTGGATGATCCTGGGGAAACACGCAAAGGTCATGGTTAACGCGAGATTTTTTTATTTAAATTGGGTGAAACGGTGAATAAAAAAACTACCACTTTATATTTAATATGATTTGAAATTGAAAATTAAATTTCTAAAATCTAAAAAAAACAAACTGATTACATCACAAATACACATCTTAACAAAAATATATTTTAAAATTAAATCAATCAATCCGAAATCATTCTTAAAAGAACATCTAATATGTCGTAGTAGACGTAAAAGAGTCCGGACGAGTCCACTTGCGATCTTATGGGGAGGATCGTACTCATCAGCGGCCTTCGTCACTCTCTTTTGTAATTCCTTCACTAAGATTCTCTAGATAATGCAAATTCAAGGTCATTTGAACTCCTTGATCTATGCGTTTATGACCTCTCGTTGTTTTTACTATGGACATTTTCATCAAGCTTCACGGGCCAAGTGTAAAAATATGGGTGGATTCATAAACCAATTTTTATTTCGCAGTAGTAGGTGAAATAAGCCAATGAAATTCAACATTGGAGGTGGGCGGGGTCAATTTTACCTTCTTATTTGGTCTCAACTCAGCTGTTTATCAATATAAAATCCACTTTTCGACCAATAAAATGAGTGCTCAAGAAGAAAACCGGGTGGGTGGGCGGGCCACTGTGATATTTGTTTAATTAAATTGACACCTTGCCAAAATAGAATTGAATTTTCAACTCACCATAAATAAAATAAGCCAATAATTGTTATCGAAATAAGTCTACACATATTAGGAAAAAAGGGCAAAAAGTAGAACCCCGCCCACCCACCCTATCTCGATTGTGATGATTTTTTTTATTGGTCGTGAGCCCAAAAGGCGGAGCTTAACTGCAAAATCCTTATTTCTTTACGTGAACTTAAAAACATGTTTTTGAGTATCGTGTTGTTCAAAGAATACCATGTATATCAAGAAAAAATTAAAACCATAAATTAAGCCCCACCCATACCTGCCTGCGAATGAAGTTCTCATTCGCTGGCAAACCTAGGGGGTGGAACTTAATTGCAAAATCCATATTTCCTTACAAAATTTAACCGTTTTAAGCGTATTTTAAGTTTCTAAAAAAAATCATTACAATTGAGATGGGGTCGGTGGGCGGGTGTATATTTTGCTCTTTTTTCTTAATATACATATTATTGTTTGAACAACACGATATTCAAAAACATGTTTTTAATTTCTTCTAAGGAAATAAATATTTGGAGTTAAGGTCCATAAGACACATTGTAGCCCCGCCCACCCGCCCTATCTCAATTGTGATGATTTTTTTTTATTCGTCGTGAGCCCAAAAGGCAGAATTTAACTGCAAAATCCTGATTTTCTACGTGAAATTAAAAACACGTGTTTGAGTATCGTTTTATTCAAAGAATACTATGTATATCAAGAAAAAATTAAAACCAAAAATTAAGCCCCACCCATACCTGCCTGCGAATGAAGTTTTCATTCGTTGGCAAACCTAGGGAGTGGAACTTAATTGCAAAATCCATATTTCCTTACAAAAATTAACCGGTTTAAACGTATTTTAAGTTTCTAACAAAAATATTACAATTGAGATGGGGTCGGTGGGCGGGTGTATATTTTGCTCTTTTTTCTTAATATACATATTATTGTTTGAACAACACGATATTCAAAAACATGTTTTTAATTTCTTCTAAGGAAATAAGTATTTGGAGTTAAGCTCCATAAGACACAATGTAGCCCCGCCCACCCGCCCTATCTCAATTGTGATGATTTTTTTTATTCGTCGTGAGCCCAAAAGGCGGAATTTAACTGCAAAATCCTGATTTTCTACGTGAAATTAAAAACACGTGTTTGAGTATCGTGTTATTCAAAGAATACTATGTATATCAAGAAAAAATTAAAACCAAAAATTAAGCCCCACCCATACCTGCCTGCGAATGAAGTTTTCATTCGTTGGTAAACCTAGGGGGTGGAACTTAATTGCAAAATCCATATTTCCTTACAAAAATTAACCGTTTCAAACGTATTTTAAATTTCTAAAAAAAATCATTACAATTGAGATGGGGTGGGTGGGCGGGGTTTATACTTTGTCCAATTTTTCTTAATGTACATATTATTGTTTGAACAACACGATATTCAAAAACATGTTTTTAATTTCTTCTACGGAAATAAGTATTTGGAGTTAAGCACCATAAGACACAATGTAGCCCCGCCCACCCGCCCTATCTCAAATGTGATGATTTTTTTTATTCGTCGTGAGCCCAAAAGGCGGAATTTAACTGCAAAATCCTGATTTTCTACGTGAAATTAAAAACACGTGTTTGAGTATCGTGTTATTCAAAGAATACTATGTATATCAAGAAAAAATTAAAACCAAAAATTAAGCCCCACCCATACCTGCCTGCGAATGAAGTTTTCATTCGTTGGCAAACCTAGGGGGTGGAACTTAATTGCAAAATCCATATTTCCTTACAAAAATTAACCGGTTTAAACGTATTTTAAGTTTCTAACAAAAATATTACAATTGAGATGGGGTCGATGGGCGGGTGTATATTTTGCTCTTTTTTCTTAATATACATATTATTGTTTGAACAACACGATATTCAAAAACATGTTTTTAATTTCTTCTAAGGAAATAAATATTTGGAGTTAAGGTCCATAAGACACATTGTAGCCCCGCCCACCCGCCCTATCTCAATTGTGATGATTTTTTTTTATTCGTCGTGAGCCCAAAAGGCAGAATTTAACTGCAAAATCCTGATTTTCTACGTGAAATTAAAAACATGCGTTTGAGTATCGTGTTATTCTAAGAATACTATGTATATCAAGAAAAAATTAAAACCAAAAATTAAGCCCAACCCATACCTGCCTGCGAATGAAGTTTTCATTCGTTGGCAAACCTAGGGGGTGGAACTTTATTGCAAAATCCATATTTCCTTACAAAAATTAACCGGTTTAAACGTATTTTAAGTTTCTAACAAAAATCATTACAATTGAGATGGGGTCGGTGGGCGGGTGTATATTTTGCTCTTTTTTCTTAATATACATACTATTGTTTGAACAACACGATATTCAAAAACATGTTTTTAATTTCTTCTAAGGAAATAAGTATTTGGAGTTAAGCACCATAAGACACAGTGTAGCCCCGCCCACCCGCCCTATCTCAATTGTGATGATTTTTTTTATTCGTCGTGAGCCCAAAAGGCGGAATTTAACTGCAAAATCCTGATTTTCTACGTGAAATTAAAAACATGTGTTTGAGTATCGTGTTATTCAACGAATACTATCTATATCAAGAAAAAATTAAAACCAAAAATTAAGCCCAACCCATACCTGCCTGCGAATGAAGTTTTCATTCGTTGGCAAACATAGGGGGTGGAATTTAATTGCAAAATCCATATTTCCTTACAAAAATTAAATGTTTTAAACGTATTTTATGTTTCTAAAAAAAAATCATTGCAAAGCAGATGGGGTGAGTGGGCGGGTTGTATATTTTGTTCTTTTTTCTTAATATACATATTATTATTTGAACAATACGATAGTCAAAAACATGTTTTTAATTTTTTCTAAGGAAATAAGTATTTGGAGTTAAGCTCCGCCCCCTTGGTTCTTGGCGAATAAAAAAATCGTCACAATTGAGATAGGGCGGGTGGGCGGGCTCACGTTTGGCTTTTTTGTTTTAATATATCTAGGCGTCTGTTCACAACAAGAAACTTAAAACATTTTTAAAATGGTAAATTTGTATAAGGAAACATTGATTTTGCAATTTGGCTCCGCCCCATAATTGCAAAATCCATATCTCCTTGCAAAAATATACCATTTTAATTAAGATGGCTGTGTATATTAGAAAAAGACACAATGTAGCCCCGCCCACCCGCCCTATCTCAATTGTGATGATTTTTTTTATTCGTCGTGAGCCCAAAAGGGGGAGCTTAACTGCAAAATCCTTATTTCTTTACGTGAAATTAAAAACATGTTTTTGAGTATCGGGTTGTTGAAAGAATACTATGTACATTAAGAAAAAATTAAAACCGAAAGTTAAACTCCACCCATACTTGCCCTGATTTACTAGTATTGAAGTTTTCATTCGTTGGCGGACCTAGGGGCGGAGCCTAATTGCAAAATCTATATCTCCTTACAAAATTAAATTTACCATTTTAAACGTGTTTCAAGTTTCTAAGCATAAAAAAAATCATCTCAATCGAGATGGGGTGGGTAGGCGGGGTTTATATTTTGCCTTTTTGTTTTAATATGTGTAGACTTCTTCTCACAACATGAAACTTAAAACATGTTTAAAATGGAAAATGTGTACATACATTTGGCAAACTTTTGAGGTGACGTCATCAAAATTTTGACAATATAGATATTTCTTACACTATTACTGCTATTACCTATATTTTTATTTCTCCACTCTAAGTTAAGAAAACATTGTTATAGGGTCCATAGAGCGACTGGCTACTTTCAGGTTTTATCGAGAGTATTTGTGTCAATTAATATAATATAATCTCCGAAACTACTGGGCTGATTATTGTGAAATTTTTTTAGTAAGCGTCAAATAAATTTTATAAAATATCGTACTCTATACTTGTGGTTTGACTTGCTCGAATCATAAGGCCGATATTGCCAAATAACATACCCTCTAAGAAAATAGAGGGCAGACGGGCCAAAATAAGACTGATTTTAGTAAATGACTTACTTTTTAGGAAAATAAAGGGTGGGTGGGCGGGGCCAATACTTGCCAATATAAGACTGATTTTGCCAAATGATATACGTTTTACCCTTTATTTTCTTAGAGGATATGCCATTTGACAATATCAGTTTTATCTTGGCAAGTACTAGCCCCGCCCACCCGCCCTCTATTTTCATAGAGAGAAGGTCATTTGCCAAAATCAGTCTTACTCTGGCAAGTACTAGCCCCGCCCACCCGCCCTTTATTTTTTTAGAAAGTAAATCATTTGCCAAAATCAGTCTTATCTTGGCAAGTACTAGCCCCGCCCACTATTTTCTTAAAGAGTATATCATTTGCCAAAATTAGTCTTATCTTAGTAAATAGTAGAACCACCCACCCGCCCTCTATTTTCTTAGGGAGTAGGTCATTTGCCAAAACATCCTTATCTTGGCAAGTACTAGCCCCACCCACCCGCCCTCTATTTTCTTAGGGAGTGGGTCATCTGCCAAAATCAGTCTTACCTTGGCAAGTACTAGACCCGCCCACCCGCCCTTTATTTTCTTAGAAAGTAGGTCATTTGCCAAAATCAGTCTTATCTTGACAATTTACTAGACCCGCCCACCCGCCTTTTATTTTCTTAGAAAGTAGGTCATTTGCCAAAATCACTCTTATCTTAGCAAATACTAGACCCGCCCACCCGCCCTCTATTTTCTTAGGGAGTAGGGCATTTGCCAAAATCAGTCTTATCTTGACAATTTACTAGACCCGCCCACCCGCCCTTTATTTTCTTAGAAAGTAGGTCATTTGCCAAAATCAGTCTTATCTTGGCAAAGTACTACTTGTGGTTTATGAATCCGTCTTGAACTTTTCCCATAGGCATCAACATTTTCGCAAAAATTCCAAACAGGACGACCTCGGACGTGTTCGAATCCCTCATGGCCCTTTTTTTCTTACACTGTCACTGCCATTATCGATATTTTTACTTTTCGATTCCAAGTTAAGAAAACATTGTAATAGTTGATAATAATTGAGCGACTGGCTACTTTCAGGTTTTATTGACGTTTCATGCTTCTAGAGTATCTGTGTCGATTATTATTGGACAGATAATCTCCGAAACTACTAGGCCGATTATTGACATTTTTTTTTAGTAAACATCAATTAAATTTTCCAAAATAACGTCCTTCTATACTTGTGGTTTATGAATCCGTCTTGAAGTTTTTCGCAAAAATTCCAAACAGGACCCGTTAAAGTGCCGACCTCGAACTTGTTCGAATCCCTCATAGCTAAGTCAAAAAGCATTATAATAGAGTCCATAGAACGACTGGCTACTTTCAGGTTTTATCGACGTTTCATGCCCCTAGACTATCTGTGTCGATTATTATTGGACAAATAATCTCCGAAACTACTGGGCCGATTGTTGTCAATTTTTTTAATAAACGTCAATTAAATTTTATAAAATAACGTACTTCTATTCTTATGGCTTATAAATCTGCCTTGAGTTTTCTGTTGGGCATCAAAATTTTCGCAAAAATTCCATACAGGACCAGTTAAAGTCGGACTTGTTCGAATCATAAGGCCGATATTGCCAAATAACATACCCTCTAAAAAAATAGAGGGCAGGCGGGCCAAAATAAGACTGATTTTGGTAAATGACTTACTTTTTAAGAAAAAAAGGGTGGGTGGGCGGGGCCAATACTTGCCAATATAAGACAGATTTTGCCAAATGATATACCCTTTACCCTTTATTTTCGTAGAAGGTATGCCATTTGACTATCAGTTTTATCTTAGCAAGTACTAGCCCCGCCCTCCCGCCCTTTATTTTTTTAGAAAGTAAATCATTTGCCAAAATCAGTCGTATCTTGGCAAGCACTAGCCCCGCCCACTATTTTCTTAAAGAGTATATCATTTGCCAAAATCAGTCTTATCTTAGTAAATAGTAGAACCACCCACCCGCCCTCTATTTTCTTAGGGAGTAGGTCATTTGCCAAAATCACTCTTATCTTGGCAAATACTAGTCAAGCCCACCCGCCCTCTATTTTCTTAGGAAGTGGGTCATCTGCCAAAATCAGTCTTACCTTGGCAAGTACTAGCTCCGCCCACCCGCCCTCTATTTTCTTAGGGAGTAGGTCATTTGCCACAATCAGTCTTATCTTGACAATTTACTAGAACCGCCCACCCGCCCTTTATTTTCTTAGAAAGTAGGTCATCTGCCAAAATCACTCTTATCTTGACAAAGTACTACTTGTGGTTTATGAATCCGTCTTGAACTTTTCCCATGGACATCAATATTTTCGCAAAAATTCCAAACAGGACCAGTTAAAGTGCCGACCTCGGACGTGTTCGAATCCCTCATGGCCCTTTTTTTCTCACACTGTCACTGCCATTATCGATATTTTTACTTTTCGATTCCAAGTTAAGAAAACATTGTAATAGTTGATAATAATTGAGCGACTGGCTACTTTCAGGTTTTATTGACGTTTCATGCTCCTAGAGTATCTGTGTCGATTATTATTGGACAGATAATCTCCGAAACTAATAATCCGATTGTTGACAATTTTTTTTAGTAAACGTCAATTAAATTTTCCAAAATAACGTACTTCTATACTTGTGGTTTATGAATCCGTCTTGAAGTTTTTCACAAATATTCCAAACAGGACCCGTTAAAGTGCCGACCTCGAACTTGTTCGAATCCCTCATAGCTAAGTCAAAAAGCATTATAATAGGGTCCATACAGCGACTGGCTACTTTCAGGTTTTATAGACGTTTCATGCTCCTAGAGTATCTGTGTCGATTATTATTGGACAGATAATCTCCGAAACTACTAGGCCGACTGTTAACAATATTTTTCAGTAAACGTCAATTAAATTTTCCAAAATAACGTACTTCTATAATTGTGGTTTATGAATCCGTCTTTACGTTTTTCGCAAAAATCCAAACAGGACCCGTTAAAGTGCCGACCTCGAACTTGTTCCAATCCCTCATAGCCCTTTGGTTTTTTCCTACATTGTAACTACTATTATCTATATTTTTACTTCTGGATTCTAAGTCAAAAAAAACATTATAATAGAGCGACTGGCTACTTTCAGGTTTTATCGACGTTTCATGCCCCTAGACTATCTGTGTCGATTATTATTGGACAAATAATCTCCGAAACTACTGGGCCGATTGTTGTCATTTTTTTAGTAAACGTCAATTAAATTTTATAAAATAACGTACTTCTATTCTTGTGGTTTATGAATCTGCCTTGAGTTTTCTGTTGGACAATTTTCGCAAAAAACCCTATTATCTAGAGGGTAAGACTAGGAAAATAAATTAGTAATCAGTAACTTACCTGTCTTGAATTTCTAAATAGGTATTTTAAAATTCAAAACTCACTCACTACCGACTTTGTATCAAATTTTGTTATCGACAATTCAACCGCTTAGAGTCCGTTTATCGAACAGATGGAGTGATTTTTACAGCTCCATCTGTTCGATAAACTTCGCAAGTTTAAAGAAAGTAAAGACATATTTTTATTACAATACTCACCTGTAACAGCACATTACCCCGTTGGTCAACGTAGTCCAACTGCATTTGACCACCACGATATATTTCTGAGCACACTTACTGCCGATATTTACAGACATACCGGCACCCTTTAGCGAGACCTAATTTGTGAATAGAGTGCAGCAACCCGACACAACAAAATCCAAACAACTAATTCAAAACGTGCTAAACTCTACCACGTCAAATAAAAAAAAAAACTCGAACTAAGGGGGCTCTAAGAAATATATTTTGGCTGTAACACAAAACGTCTCATTAATTCAAGAACAGTGTATCCAGCAGCCAGAAAGTCCGACTTTGGACTTTCCGACTTTCAAACCAAACCTCCACCTTTGCTGTTAGTACGTCGAGTGTTAGTACGTCCGAATCGGGACACCACACGACCTGACTCACCTTCCGAAATAATCCGCTCTTTCTTGGTCCTCGGGCAGCACGTGCGACTTCTTATACCCATCCAAGTACGCCTCCTTCAAGCCGAAGTTTAGCTTCGCCAACGCCGCCGTGGCGGCGGCGTTCTTCGCCACCTTCTTGCTGGAACCTACACGACTATAACAACACGCGCAACGCCGTTGGTTTTAGTTACCCGTTCCGAAGAACTTGTCCTCTCCGACGATGATCGTGATCTTGAACCTGGAGTAAGCGCAGCCTTCGTTCTCCGAGCATTCGTACACCACGTTGGGGTAGAGTTCGTTCAGGAGCATGACGGGGCCTTTCGTTACGACCTTTTTCGTGGACGCTTCCTTCTTCTGGGTGCCTTCGAACGCGTCGCTGGTGAAGTCCATGTTGGTGGCGTCGGTCCCGGTGGCGTACGCCATGTTCGTGCTATTCGGGAGCTGGATGAAGGATTTCAAAGCTTCTTCGGCGGCTTTGCATTTGGCACTTTTTTTCGAACCTCCGGTTCCGTAGTAGGTTTGGCCGTCGACGTCCACGGCGACTTTGAAGATGGGGGCGTGCGAAGGCCCGGTTTGTTCTATGAAGTTGTATTTTAAACCGATGCGGAGTTCGTTGAGGATGGAGACGGGGTTTTTGTTGTTGTTGGTGAGGGATGGGTCGAGTTTGAGTTTTTTCGATTCTGGAGGGGTCATGTCTCCTGGAAAAAAAAATAAAAATTGGTCGAAAATATTTTTACTTGTTGAGATACTCCGCCACTGTCTATGATTCGAACGCATTATGTTACGAAAACGCGCAAATTTACAAAGATGTTTTTTTAATTTTCTTCCGACACGTACCCAATGCGAACAAATTAGACTAACAAATTTGTCCCGTTTTTGTAATTTAAATTAAAATAATTTATTCCATATCGCGTGCTTAAAGTAAGAAAGTGCGGGTCAAAGTTGTAGCAACGACTTATAAATGCGCAAATTTAATCTCGTGTATTTTAATTTTACGATTTATTTTTACACTGAAAATAGAAAACTTTCTACAAAACATTGGATCGAAAGTCGTCTCTTTTTTAAACAGTGTTTAAATACTGTTTAGATCACGTGTTTTGGGTTTATTTGTAATTCTCGGCTTCGCAGGCTAATACAATTTGAAAAAGTAGGTCCCCCTATCTAAATTTCTTAAAATAATGTACGTCTCTACTTGTGAATTGATCATTTATTTATAAAGTAGAAAAATCTTCCAAAAAATCGAAAAATGGAAAAGTAAAAAAATTTAAAAATCAAGAAACTGAAGAATACAAAAACTGAAAAATCGACAATTCCAAAAATCGAATACAGAAAAATCCAATTCTCGATTTATGAAATGTCGGAAAATAAACAAATCGGATAGTGAAAAAATGAAAATTCGAATATCGAAAAAATCAAAATTTGTAAAATTCGAGAAATCGAAAAATCGAAAAGTTCAAAACTGAAGTCTAAAAACTGACGAATACAAAAACTGAAAAATCGACAATCGAAAAACCGAAAATTTATAAAATTTGGAAAATCCGGAAACTGGAAAAATCGAAGAATCGAAAATCAAAATTCGAAAATTTAACATTCGAAAAAATTGGAAATCGCAAATCGAAAAAGTGAAAAATTAAAAAATCTCGATTTTCGAAATATCGAAAATTCAAAAAACCGAAAAGTCAACTAATTGAAAATTCGAAAAACTGAAGAATAGAGAAACTGAAAGATCCAAAAATCGAAAAGTAAAAAATTGAAGACCAAAATCTGGCGAATGGAAAAATTGAAAAATCGGAAAATCGAAAAATTCAGAAATGAACAATCAGAAAGTAAAAAATTGAAAAATTGGAAACAGAAAAATCGAAAATTCTAAAAGTCAAAAATCTCAAAAGACCAAAAAGTCGGAAAGTCGAAAAGTTGAAGAATGGAGAAATCGAATAACCGAAAAGTAAAAAAATTGAAAATAAGAAAATTGAAAAACGAAAATTCGATGAATCAAATATTCGAAAAACCGAAAATCGAAAAAGCGAATACCGAAAAAATCAAAATTTGAAAAACTGAAGATTCGAGAAATCGAAAAATCGAACAGTAAAAACTGAAGGTTAAAAACTAATGAACAGAAATACTGAAAAATCGGAAAATCGAAAAATTGAAAATAGAAAAATTGAAAATCCAAAATTCGATGAACCAACTATGTGATCAAAAATCGAAAATCGAAAAATCGGAAGTCGAATGAAGCGACTAGTCAAAAAATCGAAAATCGAAAAATCGGAAATAGGAAAAATCCGTAATTGGAAAATTGGAAAAATCTAACAATCAAAAATAGAAATTCGAAAAATTGACATTCGAAAAATCGGAAATTGAAAATTGAAATATCGGAAAACTGTGACATCCAAAAATTGAAAAATTAAAAAATCGTGAAATTGAAAGGTCGAGAAATCGAAAATTCCAAAAATCAAAAACCTCAAAAATCGAAAAATTGAAAAACGAAAAGTCGATTAATCAAATATTCGAAAAATCAAAAATCGAAAGATAGAAAATTCGAAAAATCAAACGATCAAAACTCGAAAAATTGACATCCGAAAAATGAAAAATCGGAAAATCAAAAGTTCGGCAAGTCAAAAACCGAAAATCGAAAAATCAAAATATCTCGATTTTGAAAAAACCGAAAAGTCAACAAATTGATAACTCGAAAAATTGAAGAATGTTAAAACCGAAAATTCGAAAATTGAAAAACGGAAAAATCGAAGACTCAAAAATCGAAAAATTAAGATTCGAAAAATCGGAAATCGAAAAATGAAAAATCGGAAAATCGAAAGTTCGGCAAATTGAAAAATAAAAAATCAAAAACCGAAAATCAAAAAATTAAGAAATCCCGATTTTCGAATATGGTGAATTCAAAAACCCGAAAAGTCAACAAATTGAAATATTGAAGAGTGGAAAAATTGAAAAATCTAAAATTCGACAAGTAAACAAATTTAAGTCTAAAAACTGATGAATGGAAAAATTGGGAAATCGAAAAGTCAAAAATTGAAAATAAGAAAATCGAAAAATCGAAAAACCGAAAATTCGAAAAATCGAAAATTGGAAAAGTGGAAAAATCGAACAATCAAAATCGAAAAATTGACATTCGAAAAATCGAAAATAGAAAAACTGAAAAATCAAAAAGTTGAAAAATTAAAAAATCATGAAATCGGAAATTAGAGAAATGTAAAAATTGAGAAATCGAACAATCGAAAAGTAAAACGATTGAAAAATTCAAAATAGGAACATGAAAAATTGGAAGAGTGGAAAAATCAAAAATCGAAAAATGAAAAATTGGAAAATCGAAAAATCAAACACCGAAAATCGAAAAATCAAAAAAATCTCGATTTTCGAAATATCGAAGATTCAAAAAACTGGAAAGTCAACAAACTGAAGCCTAAAAAGTCAGTTTTTAGGACTGAAAATCGAAAAATTAAAAAATAGGAAAATCGAAAAATGGAGAAATTAAAAAAACTGAATAATTGAAAATGAAAAAATCCAAAAACCAAAAATTAAAATATTTCAAAAAACAAAAAATTGAATAATCGAAACATTGAGAAATCGAGAAATCGAAAAGTAAAAAAACGTACAAAAATCGAAAATTTTATTGAAAATTCGATGAATCAAATTTTCGAAAAATCTAAAATTCTAAGAATCAAAAAACGAAAAATCGGAAAGTCGAATAACCGAAAAATTGAGAAATCGAGAAATCGATAAATCGAACAATCGAAAAGTAAGAAAAAAACTGAAAAATTTTAAAAATATTGAAATCAAAATTCCAAAAATCGGAAACATCAAAAATCGAAAAATCAGAAAGTCGAGAAAAATAAGAATTGTTAAACTGAGAAATCGAACAATCAAAAAGTAAAACAATTGAAAATAGGAAAACCGAAAAACGAAAATTCGGTGAACCAGATATTCGAAAATTCGAGAATTGGGAAAGTGAAAAAACCGAAAAATCAAAAAACGAAAACTTAATTCGAAAATGAAAAATCGGAAATTCGAAAAAAGAAAAATCCAAAAATTAAAAAATCTCGCTTTTCAAAATATGGAAAAATCGAAAACTCGAAAAACTGAATAATGAAAGAATTGAAAGTTCAAAAAATCGAAAAGTAAAACAAATTGAAGTCTTAAAACTAACGAATGGAAAAATTGAAAAATCGAAAAGTCGAAAAATAGAAAAATTGAGAAACCGAACAATCGAAAAGTGCAAAAATTGAAAAAAGGAAAATCGAAAAACGAATATTGGATTAATCTAATATTCGAAACATCAAAAATCGAAAATTCTAAAATTCAAAAATCTCGAAAAACAAAAGATCGAATAACCGAAAAATTGAAAAATCCAGAAATCGAACAACCGAAAAGTAAAAAAAATTGAAAATGGGAAAATCGAAAAATCGAAAAACTGAATTCGAAAAATCGGAAATCGAAAATGAAAAATCGGAAAATCGAAAAAAGAAAAATTCAAAAATCAAAAACTGAAAATCGAAAAATCAAAAAAATCACGATTTTCAAAATATCGGAAATTCAAAAAACCGAAAAATCAGCAAATTGAAAACTCGAAAAACTGAAAAATGGAAAAATTGAAAGATCAAAAAATCGAAAAGTAAAACCAAATGAAGTCTTAAAATTGACGAATGGAAAAATTAAAAAATCGGAAAGTCGAAAAATAGAAAAATTGAGAAACCGAACACGAAAAGTGCAAAAATGGAAAAAAGGAAAATCGAAAAACGAATATTCGATTAATCTAATATTCGAAACATCAAAAATCGAAAATTCTAAAATTCAAAAATCTCGAAAAACAAAAAATCGAATAATCGAAAAATTGAAAAATCGAAAAATTCACATTCCAAAAATCGGAAATCGAAAATAGAAAAATCAAAAATCGAAAATTGGAAAAGTGGAAAAATAGAACAATCAAAAATTGAAAAATTGACATTCGAAAATAAAAAATCGGAAAATCGAAAAAAGAAAAATTTAAAAAACCGAAAAATCAACAAATTGAAAACCCGAAAAACTGAACAATGGAAGAGTGGGAAGATCAAAAAATCTAAAAGTAAAACAACTTGAAGTCTTAAAACTGACGAATGGAAAAGTTGAAAAATCGGAAGTCGAAAATAGAAAAATTGAGAAATCGAGCAATCGAAAAGTGCAAAAATTGAAAAATAGGAAAATCGAAAAACGAAAATTCGATGAATACAATATTCGAAAAATCAAAAATAGAAAAATCAAGAAATCGAAGAACGTAAAAGTAACAAAACCAAACTGAAAATGGGAAAATCGAAAAACCAAAAGGTAGAAAACTCGAAACATGGAAAAATCGAAAAATTGACATTCGAAAAATCGGAAATCGAAAATAAAAAAATCAAAAATCGAAAATTTAAAAAATCGTGGAATTGAAAATTCGAAATTCCGAAAAATCAAAGTCACATTATAGAATATTGTTATGCAATTGTTATTTTTTTTCCCACAAATTTGCATGTCCAAGATAAAAACTGAATACGAATTTATAAAATATAAAAAACATTTATACTGCAAAATTGTAAAATAACGTCATAATTTTTTAGAATTTAATTAACATTTATTATTCTAAATTTTGGATTTTAGTTTATTAAACAATGTAGAGATTTTCTTATTGTAATCTGATATTAGTGGCAGTGGCGTCTGCCGGACTATGAAACATCAACACCTCACACATTCACATTGATGGATCATCAAGAAACTATTTTCCAGCGTTATTTATTTATCAACGAAATTAAAAAAAAAGTTGTTCCATTGCTCTGTATTAATTTCAATCGAAATATGTTAATTATTACTTATAATACTTTAAATTTCCATCCAAGTCCTACTTTTCTCTCGAGTCGTAGTCTTGAAAAAGACTGTTTCTTCCATGAAAAACCATACAAGCTGGCTTTGCAAGAATTCCATATCACATTTTCTAGAACGTGAATCACCAACCAGTTAAATCAAAGTATAAATTACCTGTTGCTATAGACATTATCAAGAATTTTAAAACCATAATTCGTTACATATTTTAAAACCTAGCACTGTTACTAATTTTGTACTATCAAAGGCATCAAACCCACCGCAAGTTCAAAACTTCCCCCCTTCCCCCAAGCCCACACATCCGTGCCCTACATTTGCCGCTAAAACGCACAAAATAGGAAAATACGATACAAAACACGAGATTAGATTTGGAAATCGATATGGCCCGCTCTCCCCTACACGCCATAATTTTCCCATTTGTATATTAACACATGACGCACGACACCCAACAAAACCGCAAATACTTATTTCGTAATACGTCTACATCATACCTGTCTCCATGGTCCGCTTAGTAGCCCCCTTCGGGGAACACAGCTTTTCACAATCGTTAGCCATAACTACACCCAGGTATGTCTTTGTTCCAACGATTGTTGATACCGCAGTGAAACGCAAAACCGTCGGAGATAAAAACACACAAACAGAACTTCGCACAAGTCGATAACCGAATTGAAAATCACATAACCTCACATGCTCGGAAGCTATGAGCTTGAGCCCCAAATGTCAACGTGATTGAGTCATCAAAGTCGGCGGAGATAGATGGAGCGAAGGTCGAATGTCGACTACGTCGACTCGAAAATGACTTTAAACGCGTTTATTACGCACACTATAACTTCAGTCAATCGTAAATAGCAAAAGAAGTAACGAAATTGGGGTTTTTAGCACGAGTGTGAGCCGTATTTTTTAAATCGTGCGACTTTTTCAACCCGAAAGTCGACGTTCGTGGATTTCTACCTAGCGACGTTTCCCCACCTCGTGTCAAATGTCAATTTCGCAGTGGCAGCGCTGGAACTCAAACGTCAAAGTTTTCCTTGCCACGTTAGGTTATGTTGAAAAATACACTGATATGTTTGGTGCAGTGAATCTTACTGAAATTTAACGATAAATAAACTCAATAATCTCAACAACGGACTAGTTTCAGCATGGATTCCTACAGTTATTTATTTTTTTTTGTATTGATAACCTACACTAGTGCGACCGAATTGACGTTTGAATTACCAGACAGTGCCAAAGAATGTTTTCACCAAGAAATAAAAAAGAACACCTCCGTGACGTTAGAATTTCAAGTAAAATTAAATTTTTCGTACTCGGGGGGCTACTTTTTCCGTGTTCTAGGTAGTTACAGGCGGCCAGTATGACGTTGACGTCACTCTACAAGACCCCAAGGGACAGATCATCTACCAGCAAATTAAAATGCAATTCGATTCTCACGTTTTCACCACCGAGCAAACGGGGGTTTACGTAGTTTGCTTCAGTAATGAATTTTCGACGTTCTCGCACAAGTTGGTCTATATGGATTTCCAAGTGGGGGATGAGCAGCCGTTGCCAGGTTTAGGGGAGCACGTCACAGTCATGACTCAAGTATGTTCGGGAAACTGTAGTTCTTGTTTGACAGCGGGTGTTACAGATGGAGTCCTCAGCACACGACATACACAAAGCCTTATCTACGATACTAGATTTTCAGACGCATCATAGGTTGAGGGAGGCGCAAGGCAGGAAAAGGGCTGAGGACTTAAATGAACGTGTGTTGTGGTGGTCAATAATGGAAAGTGTGGCTATTATTACGATAGCTGTGGGACAGGTTTTTGTTCTGAAGAATTTCTTCACCGAGAGAAAACCTTTTAATGTTAAGTAGTTGTCACTGTATCTAAATAAATTTTGTTTGATTATTTTGTGAGTTTTGGATGTTGTAAGTAAATTCAGGGACGTGTTTGTATACCGTGTTTTTATTTGTGGGAGTTTGTTTGGGGGTTTTTTGTTTTTCGTTTGGCGACACTGCCATTTTTTATGTTGGTGTTGTGTTGTTCCCACAAACGAGTGACGTAGATCTGACACTTCATACTTCATATAAACAACTTTGTTTTTTCTTACAAAAATATGGTGTTGAAAAAAGTGACAATTAACGATTCTGTATATAAATGACGCACAAATAAGTTTTAAAATGGTTATAATCAAGAGTTTAGACAATTCAAGGTTCAGTCAGATCATATGAAAAATAATTTTGAGTATCCCATGATGACGTACTATGACGTTGCCGTCACGTGAGCTGAAATATCGGAAAATTGAGAAAACGAAAATTCGAAAAGATTTTTAAAATTGAAAAATCGAAACATGAAAAAATTGCAACTCAAAGGTCGAAGAATCGAAACACCGAAATTTCGATAAATCGAGAAATGGAAAAATTTAAAAATCAAAAAATGTAAAATTAAAAAATGAAAAATTGACGAATCAAAAAATTTAAAAATCGTAAACCGAAATATCGGGAAATAGAGAAAAACGGAAAATTCGGTGAGTCAAATGTTCGAAAATTGTAAAAATGGAAAAATCGTAAAATCGAAGTTCAGAAAGTCGAAAAGTGAAAAATCTAAAACGAAAAATTGAAACACTGAAAATAGAAAAATTGGAAAATCGAGAAATCGAACAAAAGTAAAAAAACTGAAAAATCAAAAATGGGAAAATTGAAAAATCAAAAATTGGAAAACTCTGAAAATGGAAAAACCGAAAAATTCATATTCGAAATTCGAAAAATTGACATCCGAAAAATCGAAGAGTTAAAAAATTGTGAAATCGAAAACGTCAGAAATTGAAAAATTGTAAAATTGGACAATCGAAAACTAAAACAATTGAAAAATTCAAAATTGGAAAATCGAAAAACGAAAATTCAATTTGATTCATTGAATTTTCGTTTTTCGATTTAAAAAATCAAAAAACTAGAAAACGAGAAATAGAAAAAGCTATAATTTTAGGAATTCAAAACTTAAGATATCAAAAAATGGAAGAATCCCAAAACACAAATATCGAAAAATTTATTAATTGATAAATCAAAAATCTTAAAAATCGAAAATTTAGAAACGCCAAAAATTAAATTACTGAAAAGTCGAAAAATTGAGGATTCAAAAAATAAAAAAAATCGAAAAATTGAAAAATCGGGAAATTGAACAATCGAAAAATCCCGAAAATGAAATAATGGAAAATTGAAAATCGGGAAACTGAAAAATTGGAAAGTCGAGAAACTGAAAATTCGAAAAACTGAAAAAAAAACTGAAATATCGAAAAATTGAGAAAACGAAAAATCGAAAGAATTTTAAAAACTGAAAAAAGAAATCGGAAAAGTAAAATTTAAAAAATCAAAAAATTTGAAAAACCCCTAAACTTAAATCTAGAAAAATTTAAAAACTGAAAAATTAAAAAATCGAAAACTGAAAAAGTGTAAAATTAAAAAACCAACAATTGAGAAATTGACAAATTTTAAAATCGTAAACTCAAATATTGGAAAACAGAGAAATCGAAAATTTGAAAAATCGAGAAATTGAAGAATCGGAAAATTGAAGAATCGAAAAATCCAAAAAAACCGAAAATGAAACATTGGAAAATTGAAAATCGCGAAATTGAAAAATTGGAAAGTCAAGAAACAGAAAATTCGAAAAATTGAAAAAGAAATCGAAAAAGTAAAATTTAAAATATCCAAAAATTTGAAAAACCCCAAAACTTAAATCTAGAAAAATTGGGATCGCAAAATTGAAAAATTCTAAAAATTGCGACTTAAAAGTCGAAAAATCGGAACACGAAACCTCGATAAATCGAGAAATCGAAAAAATTAAAAACCGAAAAATCAAAAAAACTAGAAATCGAGATATCGAAAAACCTAAAATTCAAGAAATCCAAAAATTTAGAAATAAAAGATTTGAAAAAAACTAGAAATCCCAAAACTGAAATATCGAAAAATTGAGAAAACGAAAAATCGAAAGAATTTTAAAAACTGAAAAATGGAAAATTCGAAAAATTGAAAAAGAAATAGAAAAAGTAAAATTTAACAAATCAAAAAATTTTAAAAACCCCAAAACTTAAATCTGGAAAAATTGGGATCGAAAAATTTAAAAATCAAAAAATGTAAAATTAAAAAATGAAAAATTGACGAATCAAAAAATTTAAAAATCGTAAACCGAAATATCGGGAAATAGAGAAAAACGGAAAATTCGGTGAGTCAAATGTTCGAAAATTGTAAAAATGGAAAAATCGTAAAATCGAAGTTCAGAAAGTCGAAAAGTGAAAAATCTAAAACGAAAAATTGAAACACTGAAAATAGAAAAATTGGAAAATCGAGAAATCGAACAAAAGTAAAAAAACTGAAAAATCAAAAATGGGAAAATTGAAAAATCAAAAATTGGAAAACTCTGAAAATGGAAAAACCGAAAAATTCATATTCGAAATTCGAAAAATTGACATCCGAAAAATCGAAGAGTTAAAAAATTGTGAAATCGAAAACGTCAGAAATTGAAAAATTGTAAAATTGGACAATCGAAAACTAAAACAATTGAAAAATTCAAAATTGGAAAATCGAAAAACGAAAATTCAATTTGATTCATTGAATTTTCGTTTTTCGATTTAAAAAATCAAAAAACTAGAAAACGAGAAATAGAAAAAGCTATAATTTTAGGAATTCAAAACTTAAGATATCAAAAAATGGAAGAATCCCAAAACACAAATATCGAAAAATTTATTAATTGATAAATCAAAAATCTTAAAAATCGAAAATTTAGAAACGCCAAAAATTAAATTACTGAAAAGTCGAAAAATTGAGGATTCAAAAAATAAAAAAAATCGAAAAATTGAAAAATCGGGAAATTGAACAATCGAAAAATCCCGAAAATGAAATAATGGAAAATTGAAAATCGGGAAACTGAAAAATTGGAAAGTCGAGAAACTGAAAATTCGAAAAACTGAAAAAAAAACTGAAATATCGAAAAATTGAGAAAACGAAAAATCGAAAGAATTTTAAAAACTGAAAAAAGAAATCGGAAAAGTAAAATTTAAAAAATCAAAAAATTTGAAAAACCCCTAAACTTAAATCTAGAAAAATTTAAAAACTGAAAAATTAAAAAATCGAAAACTGAAAAAGTGTAAAATTAAAAAACCAACAATTGAGAAATTGACAAATTTTAAAATCGTAAACTCAAATATTGGAAAACAGAGAAATCGAAAATTTGAAAAATCGAGAAATTGAAGAATCGGAAAATTGAAGAATCGAAAAATCCAAAAAAACCGAAAATGAAACATTGGAAAATTGAAAATCGCGAAATTGAAAAATTGGAAAGTCAAGAAACAGAAAATTCGAAAAATTGAAAAAGAAATCGAAAAAGTAAAATTTAAAATATCCAAAAATTTGAAAAACCCCAAAACTTAAATCTAGAAAAATTGGGATCGCAAAATTGAAAAATTCTAAAAATTGCGACTTAAAAGTCGAAAAATCGGAACACGAAACCTCGATAAATCGAGAAATCGAAAAAATTAAAAACCGAAAAATCAAAAAAACTAGAAATCGAGATATCGAAAAACCTAAAATTCAAGAAATCCAAAAATTTAGAAATAAAAGATTTGAAAAAAACTAGAAATCCCAAAACTGAAATATCGAAAAATTGAGAAAACGAAAAATCGAAAGAATTTTAAAAACTGAAAAATGGAAAATTCGAAAAATTGAAAAAGAAATAGAAAAAGTAAAATTTAACAAATCAAAAAATTTTAAAAACCCCAAAACTTAAATCTGGAAAAATTGGGATCGCAAGATTGAAAAATCGAAACTTCAAAAAATTTTGACTCAAAAATCGAAAAATTTAAAAACCGAAAAATTAAAAAATCGAAAACTGAAAAAGTGTAAAATTAAAAAACGAACAATTGAGAAATCGAAAATTTGAAAAATCGAGAAATTGAAGAATCGAAAATTTGAAAAATACCAGAAATGAAATATCGGAAAATTGAAAAATTGGAAAGTCGAGGAATTGAAAAAACAAAAAACTGAAAAAAATTTTAAAAACTGAAAAACCGAGAAGTTAAAAAATGGAAAATTCGAAAAATCTAAAAATTGAAAAATGGAAAAAGAAATCGAAAATGTAAAATTTGAAAAATCGAAAAACTGAAAAACCGCAAAAGTGAAATCTAGAAAAATTGGGAGATCGAAAAATTGAAAAATCCAAACTTCTAAAAATTGCGACTCAAAAGTCGAAACACCGAAATTTCAATAAATTGAGAAATCGAAAAAATTAAAAACCGAAAAATCAAAAAAACTGGAAATCAAGATATCGGAAAAGCTAAAATTTAAGAAATCCAAAAATTAGACGAATTGAAGGATGGAAAAATTGAAAAATCCCAAAACATAAATATCGAAAAATTTATCAACTGATAAATCGAAGAAAAATTGAAGAATCAAAAATCTGAAAAATCGAAAAATTGAATAATTTAAGAACTGAAAATCTGAAAATCGAGAAATGCGAAAATCGATCAATTGAAAAGTCGAAAATTTAGAAACGCCAAAAATTAAATTACTGAAAAGTCGAAAAATTTTAAATTCGAAAAATTGAGGAATCGAAAAATTGAAAAACCGGGAAATTGAAGAATCGAAAAATCCCGAAAATGAAATATTGGAAAATTGAAAATCGGGAAATTGAAAAATTGGAAAGTCGAGTAACTGAAAATTCGAAAAACTGGAAATTCCAAAACTGAAATATCGAAAAATTGAGAAAACGAAAAATCGAAAGAATTTTAAAAACTGAAAAACGGAAAATTCGGAAAATTGAAAAAGAAATAGAAACACTAAAATTTAACAAATCAAAAACTTTGAAAAACCCCAAAACTTAAATCTAGAAAAATTGAGATCGCAAGATTGAAAAATCGAAACTTCAAAAAATTTTGACTCAAAAATAGAAAAATTTAAAAACCGAAAAATTAAAAAATCGAAAACTGAAATAGTGTAAAATTAAAAAAGGAAAAATTGAGAAATTGGCAGATTTTAAAATCGTAAACTCAAATATCGGAAAATAGAGAAATCGAAAATTTGAAAAATCGAGAAATTGGAGAATCCAAACATCGAAAAAACCCGAAAACGAAACATTGGAAAATTGAAAAACGGGAAATTGAAAAATTGGAAAGTCAAGAAACTGAAAATTCGAAAAATTGAAAAACAAATCAAAAAAGTAAAATTTAACAAATCAAAAAATTTGAAAAACCCCAAAACTTAAATCTAGAAAAATTGGGAGCGCAAAATTGAAAAATTCTAAAAATTGCGACTTAAAAGTCGAAAAATCGAAACACGAAATCTTGATAAATCGAGAAATCCAAAAAATTAAAAACCGAAAAATCAAAAAAACTAGAAATCGAGATATCGAAAAAGCTAAAATTTAAGAAATCCAAAAATTTAGAAACAAACGAATTGAAAAAATTGAAAAATCCCAAAACACAAAAATCGAAAAATGTATTAATTGATGAATCAAAGAAAAATTGAAGAATCAAAAAAGTGAAAAATCGAAAATCTGAAAAATCGAAAAATAGAAAATTTAAGAATTGAAAATCTGAAAATCGAAATGGGAAAATCGAGCAATCGAAAAATAGAAAATTTCGAAATGCCAAAAATTAAATTATTGAAAAATCGAGAAATAGAAAAATTGAAATATCGAGAAATTGAAGAATCGAAAAACTGAAAAATTCCAAAAATGAAATGTCGGAAAACTGACAATCGTAGAATTGCAAAATCAAAACAATTTTAAAAGTTGAAAAACGGAGAATAAGTTGGAAAATGGAAAATTCGAGAAATCAAAAAATTGAAAAATCAAAAAAAGAAATCGAAAAATGTAATATTCAAAAAATCGAAAAATTGAAAAACGCCAAAACTGAACTGAAGAAAAATTGGGAAATCGAAACATCAAAAAATTGGGACTCAAAAGTCGAAAAATCGAAACACCGAAATCTCAATAAATAGAGAAATCGAAAAATGTAAAGTTTAAAAAAAGAAATAAAAAAAAACGACAAATGGAAAAAGCTAAAATTTAAGATCTCCAAAAAATTAGAATTCAACGAATTGAAGAATCCCAGAACACAAATATCGAAAAATTTATTAATTGATAAACCAAACAATTAAAAATTGGAGAAAAATTGAAAAATATAAAAATTGAAAATCTGAAAATCGAAGAATTGAGGAATCGCAAAATTGAAAAATCAAAGAAAGAAATCGAAAAATTTTAAATTTAAAAACTCGAAAAATGTGAAATTTAAAAACCCGAAAACTTCAAAAACTCAAAAACTGAAGTGTCAAAAAATTGGTAAATAGAAAAATTGAATATTCGAAACATCAAAAAATTGCGACTCAAAAGTCGAAAAATCCAAAAACCAAGACCGAGAATTGAAACACCGAAATCTCGATCAATCGAGGAATCGAAAAATTTTAGAAACCGAAAAACGTAAAATTTAGAAAGCGACAAATCAAAAAACTAGAAATCGAGAAATCGAAAAAGCTAAAATTTAAGGAATCCAAAAATTAAGATACCAAAGAATTGAAATTTCAAAAAATTGAAGAATCCCAGAATACAAATATCGAAAAATTTAAATATCGACCGAAGAATTGAAAAAAATCCAAAAACTGAAAAAATTTACATTGAAAAAAGAAAAACTATAAAGTCAAAACACTAAAAAACCGAGAAACTCAAAAATTCAAAAGTTATTATTACTTTAGCAATTATTAGCAATAAATAAATGATATTTTGGGTTAAACATCGCAACAGAATTGAAAATTCCGATTAAACGCTACCAATATTTAAAACAGTTATTCCCTAAAAAATTTCAAAGAACAACCGGGAAATGTGCTAATTTCATTCCCATTCATGAAATAATTAAATAATATTTAAGCATAATTAATCTCATTATTTGTAATTTTTAAATATGATAAATATTAATGTATTTATAATAATTAAACCGCGAAAATGTGGTGCTGTGAACACGAAGGAAAGTAGATATAAAGGCCCGAAACAGAGGTAACGTCCGTCATATTTGGTTACTTGAAAATCTCATTTCTCTACGCTCATTATTTTCTAATACGGTTCTGTACCATATTGACGTCACTTGCGCTGACAGCTGACAGTTCAAAAACCCGTACCAACCTAAACCACAAGCACGGTTGTAGAATAGATAGGTTTGTATACTAATGGCTTGGGATGGCGACGCTTCTTTTCGATCCCTATATCCATGGAAAGGACACATACAGCTAGCGCCTCTACCTTGTCGAGCGGAAATCATTCTAGTTATTTTGGGGATTTTCGTTTACATTGCTTTATGAACAATACAAAATTTGTAAATGACATTTGATCGGAGTCGATAAGTACGATTTCTTTTATTAATTACATCGGTTATAGACAGATGCCTATAGAGTTCTGTGTCCCTATCTATGGTGTCCCTAAAACGTCAAAAACCAGGCGACGCGATCGGCAATTGGCGTCGCTGACCAGGGATATGCAAATGTATGCTAGTGTATCAACCTATCTATTCTACAACCGTGACCACAAGTCATCCATTTATCAAAGAAGACTTTATTACGAACGATAAGATAGCACAATAATTGCACAATAAAATAAAAAATTCTCGTAGAAACAAGATTGCGTGTTTAGCAAGCACCATCAACACAACCCAGTCCACCAGTTCCACCAACACTACCAACCCACACACCCTACAGTCGTCCTCCAAAGTAACATTGAATTTCAAAAACCCACAAATTCAAAAATATGTAATTCGTCTTTTTCATGAGCTCCTAGTGCGACTAAACAAACAGTATGTACCTCTCCAGCAACGGCTCGGTGACCCCCGAAAAGAGGTTAGGTCAAAATTGCATAGTGCAGCCCCTGTTGACCGACCTATACCAAATAACGATGGCTTACGCCTACTGGAAGTCCGGCAAAACGCAAGAGCACGCCGTCTTCGACCTATTCTTCCGAAAAAACCCGTTCAACGGTGAATTCACCATATTCGCAGGCCTTGAGGAGTGTGTCAAGTTCGTGGATAAATTCTCGTATTCGAAGAGCGACATCGACTACATAAGGCAAGTTTTACCGTCTAATGTTGAAGAGGAGTTTTATGGGTATCTGGGTAACCTTACGGCGAAAGGGGTGTCGCTGTATGCGATGCAAGAAGGAAGTGTGGTTTTTCCTCGGATACCCATGCTGCGGGTTGAGGGCCCCCTCATTGTGGTGCAACTTCTCGAAACCACGCTTTTAAACCTGGTGAACTATGCGAGTTTGATTACTACGAATGCGTCGCGGTTTCGAATGGCTGCCAACAAACTCAATTTGTTTGAATTTGGGTTGAGGAGGGCGCAAGGACCGGATGGGGCCCTATCGGCTTCCAAGTACTCATACATTGGGGGTTTTGATGGTACTAGTAACGTTCTGGCTGGGAAGTTGTTCAATATTCCGGTTAAAGGGACCCATGCCCATTCATACGTCACGTCTTTTAACAGTTTGGATGAACTAACGACGAAGAATCTCGCTCCGAATAAAGGGGGGAAACCGGTGGATTTCGTGGATTTGGCTGTGAGCTGGCGCAAGAAAATTGTGTCCATTTTTAATGTAATGTTGTCAGAGGTTAACAATGGCGAGTTTGCCGCTTTTATATCGTTCGCTATAGCTTTCCCTAATAGCTATCTCGCTTTAGTGGACACTTACGACGTTAAAAAAAGCGGTTTGATTAATTTTAGCGCTGTGGCACTCGCTTTGGGTGATTTGGGGTATGAGCCGGTCGGCATACGCTTGGACAGTGGCGACCTGGCATATCTGTCACTAGTGGCACGCGAAGTCTTCACCCAAATCAGTAAAGACTTCAAGCGTCCATCCTTCGCTAAATTAATGATCATGGCGTCGAACGACATCAACGAAGAAACGATCCTCAGTCTGAACGAACAAGGGCACGAAATTGACTCCTTTGGAATAGGGACGCATCTAGTGACCTGCCAGAAACAACCAGCGCTAGGAGGGGTGTACAAAATGGTCGAAATCAACGGCCAAGCGCGAATTAAACTCAGCCACGATGTGGATAAAGTGACCATTCCGGGAAAAAAAGACGCTTATAGGTTATACGGGGACAGCAACCTGGCCCTAATTGACTTGCTTCAAATCTCGTCGGAAGATCCCCCTGAAGTGGGGAAAAAAGTCCTGTGCAGACATCCATTCCAAGAGTCAAAAAGGGCATTCGTGACTCCGTCAAAGGTGGAAAATTTGCTACAACTGTATTGGAAGGACGGGAAGATTTGCCAGCCGTTGCCGAACATGCAAGAGATTAAGGAGAGAGTGGTGAACAGTTTGAAGATACTGAGACCTGATATTCGGAGGGCGTTGAATCCTACGCCTTACAAGGTGGCAGTTAGTGATAATTTGTATCACTACCTGCATAATTTGTGGCTCGAAAATGCCCCCATAGGGGAGCTGTCGTAGTGTATGTGGTAGTCGCTGTGAAGTATTAGATTTTTCTCTATTTTATATAAATGGTTATTTTATTTTATGTAATTGTATACTTTTTATGAATAAATGTTATCGTCAAGTTTTATTAAGGGTTTTAAGTATCCTATTATTCAGTAAACCTGCTTAAAATGGTAATTTTCTGTGGGAAAGTATCGATTTTGCAATTAGGCTCCGCCTCTTGGTCTGACAACGAATGAAAAATGCATCACAATTAAGCTTGGGATGGATATGGGTACACGTATTAAAACAAAAGAAAAAAATATAAGCCCGCCCACCCGCCCTATCGCAATTGTGATGATTTTTTTATACGCCGTGAATCGAGAGGGCGGAGCTTAACTGCAAAATGCTTATTTCTTTACAAGAAATTAAAAACATATTTTTGAGTATCGTGTTCAAAGAATACTATGTATATTAAGAAAAAAAAATTGGTCTAAAGAGTTTAGACAGTACTTCCCTCGCTGTCGGAAACTTGACGACTGCATGCCTATTGTGTTTTTTTTCTCATTACATTTTTGTAGTCGGAATTTAAAAAAAAATTGCGATGACGTCATCAACATTTTTGCAAGGACACATATATCAGTTGGGATAGATGTAGTGTAATACTAAGAATAAAATTATTATATTCTCAAATTTTCGGGAAAATGAATTGGGTCGTTTTGAATATTGATTTGTAATAATCAATAAAATAACGAAACAATACGTATCAGAGGCAACTGAAAATCGTGTATGTATAAACATTCTTAATTTAAGATGACAGGCGTAACAGCATACGTGAGAGTCAAACAGAGAAACTGTAAACAAAACGACCATCGGTTTTATTGCTTCGACTTATTATATAAAACATTGGGTTTTATTTTAATTCTTGACGGTGAAATTCACAATTGGTTGATTATAAACATGTCTATTTCACATTCGCGGAACCAAGTGAGCGCATAAAACAAATGCAGGTCTGTAATGTTAAAGTCGATGTAAATAAGCGTGCTACCCTTATGTTTCAACCGAGTTTTCCCTTTAACAAATTTTGTGTCTACCAAATTGGGTTGGTTGGGGTGTAATACTAATAATAGTAATAATAAGTGTTGCCTTTAATTTAATCAATAAAATAAATTGACTTCATTAATTTTTTTGAACCACCTCTTAAGAAAATCTAAAAAATTAGAATGGAATGATAAATCACAAGTACAAACTCATCATATTTTTTGCATTTTAGATAGGATTTATTCAGCAAAATTTAAGGGTGACGTCATCAATTTTTTTAGGAGGGATGAACAAATACATTTTGAACAAAAGTTTACCATGCTTATAATAACTTTAAAATATTCCCAAGATTTCAAAGCATTCGGTTTTGTAATTCCTGATTAAATCGATAAAATAAATTCACGCCTTCATTAATTTTTTTGAGTCACCCTGCATATGCAAATCCAAAAATATGAATGGAATGATAAATCACAAGTACAGACTCATCATATTTTGTACATTTTAGATACGATTTATTCGGCAAACTTTTGAGCTGACGTCATCAGTTTTTTGTAGAAGATAACCAAATATATTTTGACTAAAAATTTATTATGCTCTTTATAACCTTAAAACATCTGCAAGATTTCAAAGCATTCGGTTTTGCAGTTCCTGATTAAATCAATAAAATAAATTTACGCATTCATTAATTTTTTTGAGTCACCCTGTATATGCAAATCGAAACAATTTGAATGGAATGATAAATCACAAGAAGAGACTCATCATATTTTGTACATTTTAGATAGGATTTATTCAGCAAAATTTTGTGGTGACGTCATAAATTTTTTAGGGGGGACGACCAAATACGTTTTGATCAAAAAATTACCATGCTTATGATAATTTTAAAATATCTTCAAGATTTCGAAGCATTCGGTTTTGTAGTTCCTAAGTAAACCAGTAAAATAAATTTACGCTTTCATTTATTTTCTTGAATCACCCTGTATATGCAAATCCAAAAAATATGAATGGAGTGATAGATCACAAGTACAGACTGATCATATTTTGTACATTTTAGATATGATTTATTCGGCAAATTTTCGAGCTGACGTCATCAAGTTTTTGGAGGGGATAAGCAAATATATTTTGACTAAACATTTATTATGCTCTTTATAACCTTAAAACATGTGCAAGATGTCAGAGCATTCCGTTGTGTAGTTCCTGATTAAATCAATAAAATATATTTACGCATTCATTAATTTTTTTGAGTCACTCTGTATATGCAAATCCAAAAAATATGAATGGAGTGATAAATGACAAGTACAGGCTCATCATATTTTGTACATTTTAGATATGATTTATTCGGCAAACTTTCGAGCTGACGTCATCAAGTTTTTGGAGGGGATAAGCAAATATATTTTGACTAAACATTTATTATGCTCTTTATGACTTTAAAACATCTGCAAGATTTCAGAGCATTCGGTTTTGTAGTTCCTGATTAAATTAATAAAATATATTTACGCATTCATTATTTTTTTTTGAGTCACCCTGTATATGCAAATCCAAAAAATATGAATGGAGTGATAGATCACAAGTACAGACTCATCATATTTTGTATATTTTAGATATGATTTATTCCACAAACTTTTGAGCTGACGTCATCAAGTTTTTGGAGGGGATAAGCAAATATTTTTTGACTAAAGATTTATGATGCTCTTTATAGCCTTAAAACATCTGCAACATTTCAAAGCATTCTGGTTAGCAGATTAAAAATTAAATTTCAAAATGTTGTTTTATAATTTTGATTTTTTTTCCGAAAATCTGGACGTTTCGGGTGAAAAGGCGATTCAGAGTTGTAAACTACATGTGTAGGACTATGCTATTTTATACAATTGAAAACCCATTTACTATGTACAATTTTGAAGTGACGTCATCGCATTAGTGGTGGGGATGATTAGACAAATTTTGGTTAGCGTTTTACCATCTACATGATATTCTTAATATAAGTACAAAATTTTACAACAATCGGTCGAGTACTTTCGGAGATTATCTGTCTAATAAAAATCCGGGACGGCAGACGGACAGACAGACGGACGGACAGACGGACAGACGGACAGACAGACGGACAGACGGAAATGGGAGACCTATTTCTTCGTCTTCTAGGGGTCATGAAAGATCGAGAAAACGTAAAAGTAGAGAGTCGGCCGACGGACTCGATTACAATACTTCCTTTGCTTACGCTCGAGAAGTAAAAAAGGCAGAATATAGACCCCGCCCGCCCACCCCATCCCAATTGGGATGATTTTTTTCTTAGAAACTTCAAACACAATTAAAATAGTAAATTTTTGTAGGGAAATAGGGATTTTGCAATTAGGCTCCGCCCCTAGCTCTAGTAACGAATGAAAACTTCATTACTGTTTAGATCAGATCAGATATGGGTGGGGCTTAATCTTTGGCTTTAATTTTTTCTTATATATAGTATTCTTTGAATAACACGATACTCAGAAACATGTTTTTAATTTCTCGTAGAGAAATAAGGATTTTGTAGTTAAGCTCCGCCTCCTTTCTCTTAGCAAGTATTAGCAAGTATTACCCTCTGAGAAAATAAAGGGCGGGTGGGCGGGGCTAGTACTTGTTAAGATAAAACTGATTTTGCCCCTATTAATCTTGTAAAAACTTGTGAAATTTAAAGGTGTTAAATTGCAAATTTCCATTGTTACGTGTTAAATTCCTAAATCTGCCTGAAATATGCAAAATATGAATCGTTTTTACTTGTGAGTTATCCTTGCATTAATATTTTTTTCCGACGATCGCTTATTAATGTGAAAATTACGAACAAATTTGGTGTTCAAAATGATCAATAATGAGTCTCATTATTCAACGATTAAACTAAAGTACATATACAGAAATATCAATGTATTGTTGGTTGCATGACAACTGTTTTCGAAAATTACGATCGTCGAAAAAATATTGTAATCAACACGTAGGGTAATGGCGATTAACGATCTCGCCTATTTTTAATTCATGTCATTACCCAACTAGTTGATTAAATAATTATTAGATTTGCTTATACAGGTGACTCAAAAAGTCAATGAATGTATCAATTTATTTTATTGATTAAATCAGGAACGGCTCAGTCCATTTTCTCAGAAAATTTTGGGAATACAATACTGTAATTTTTAGTATTACACTGCAACACTCCAAGTTGATATATGTGTCCTTGCAAAAATGTTGATGACGCCATCACAAAATTCTGTAAAGTAAAAACTCAACTCAAAAATGCTAGACATGTTTCACGGTACTTTAGATGCGAGGGAAGTTCTGTCGTAATAGTTTTCGACTAATTTTTTTTTCTTAATATACATAGCCATCGTTTCACAACAAGAAATTTAGAACATGGTTGAAATGATATATTTTTGCAATTAGGGGGCGGAGCCTAATTACAAAATCAATATTTCTTTATACAAATTTTCCACTTTAAACATGTTTTAAGTTTTATGTCGTGAAAAAAAGTCTACACGTATTCAAACAAAAAGGCAAAATGTAAGCCCGCCCGCCCACCCTATCTCAATTGTGATGATCTTTTTTATTCGCTGTGGACCAAAGGGGCGGAGCTTAACTGCAAAAGTTTTATTTTTTTACAAGAAATTAAAAACATGATTTTGTGTATTGTGTTGTTCAAAGAATATTATGTATATTAAGAAAAACAGGCAAAATATTTACCCCGCCCAGCCACCCCGTCTCAATTGTAATGATTTTTTTATTATCAGAAATTTAAAACTTGTTTAAATTGGTAAATTTTTGTAGCGAAATAGGGATTTAGTAATTAGGCTCCACTCCTAGTTCTAGCAACAAATAAAAACGATTTAGATCAGACCAGATATGGGTGGGGCTTAATCTTTAGCTTTAATTTATTTTTAATATACATAGTAGTCTTTGAACAACAAGATACCCAAATCATGTTTTTAATTTCTCGTAGAGAGATGAGGATTTTGTATTTAAGCTCCGCCTCCTTTCTCTTAGCAAGTACTACCCTCTGAGAAAATAAAGGGCGGGTCGGCGGGGCTAGTACTTGGTAAGATAAGACTTCTTTCGGCAAATGACATATTTTCTGGGAAAATAGCGGGCGGGTGGGCGGGCCTAGTATTTGTTAATATAAAACTGATTTTGCCCCTATTAATCTTGTAAAAATGTGTGAAATTTAAACGAGTTAAATTCCTAAATCTACCTGAAATATGCAAAATATGAATAGTTTTTACTTGTGAGTTATCATGACATTAATATTTTTTCCGACGATCGTTTATTAATGTGAAAATTACGAACAAATTTGGTTCAAAATTGATCAATAATGAGTCTCATTATTCAACGATTAAACTAAAGTCGACAGAAATGTTAATGTATTGTTGGTTGCATACCAATCTAATAAAGTTTGTTATTTCAATTTCAAAGTTTTTTAAAATTAACGCGATATTTAAATGTCGAATCAACAGAGTGTTTTTTTTTTATCAAAAATGTATTGTGAAACACATTTGAATAAAATAAACTCGACAGAAATGTCAAAGTATTGTTGGGTGTTAAAAATATGATTCAAATTGCTGTTTTCGAAAATTAGGATCGTCGAAAAAATGTTGTAATCAATACGTAGGATAATGGCCATTCACGATCGCTGTCATTACCCAACTAGTTGATTAAATAACTATTAGAGTTGCTTATACAGGCGACTCAAAAAATTAATCAATGTATCAAAGTTATTTTATTGATTAAATCAGGAACAGCTCCATTTTCCCAGAAAATTTTGGAAATGCAATATTGTTATTTTTAATATTACACTGCACGACTCCAAATTGATATACGTGTCCTTGAAAAAATGTTGATGACGTCATCACAAAATTCTGTAAAGTAAAAAGTCAACCCAAAAATGCTGGATATATTTCACTGTACTTTAAGTGCGAGGGAAGTTCTGTCGTATCAGCTTTCGACCAATTTTTTTTTCTTAATATACATAGCCATCGTTTGACAACAAGAAATTTAGTACATGGTTAAAATGCTATATTTTTGCAAGGAAATATAAATTTTGCAATTATGGGGCGGAGCCTAATTGCAACATCGATATTTCTTTATACATACAAATTTTCCATTTTAAACATGTTTTAAGTTTCATGTTGTGAAAAGAAGTCTACACTTATTAAAACAAAAAGGAAAAATGTAAGCCCGCCTGCCCACCCAATCGCTATTGTGATGATCTTTTTTATTCGCTGTCAACCAAAGGGGCGGAGCTTAACTACAAAATTTTTATTTCTTTAAGAGAAATTAAAAACATGTTTTTGTGTATCGTGTTAGTCAAAGAATACTATGCATATAAAGAAAAAAAGGCAAAATATTAACCCCGCCCACCCACCCCATCTCGATTGTAATGATTTTTTTATTATTAGAAACTTAAAACTTGTTTAAAATGGTAAATCTTTGTAGCGAAATAGGGATTTGGCAATTAAATAGTATTTTTCGAATAACACAATACTCAAAAACACGTCTTACATGATAATTTCTTGTAGAGAAAGAATAAGAATTTTGCAATTAACTTCGACGATTAAAAAAAAATCATCACAATTGAGATAGGGTGGGTGGGCGGGGCTTATATTTTGCCTTTTTTCTTAACATACGTAGGCGTCTTTTCAGAACAAGAAACTTAACACGTGTTTAAAATGGTAAATTCTTGTAGACAAATATGTATCTTGCAATTAAGCCCCGCCCCTCGACCTAACAACGAATGAAAAATTCATCACAACTGAGAATTGAGATCGGGACGAGTATGGGTGGGGCCTAATCTTTGGCTTTATTTTTTCTTAATATACAATATACATAGTATTTTTTGAACAACACATGATTTTGCAGTTAAGCTCCGCCCTCTTGGCTCACGACGAATTAAAAAAATCAGCACAATTGAGATTGGGTGGGTGGGCGGGGTTACATTTTGCCTTTTTTTTCTTAATTTGTGTAGACTTATTTCGACAACAAGAAACTCAAAACATCTCTACAATGGTAAATTTTTGTAGTAATCAACTTAAATAAAAGCAGCGTCAGCTGGATTCAACGTCAACAGCACTTTTGATTTGCAAAGATCGTGAGGTTCGCTGTGCGATTGGCTGCTTGTTTTTGAAGTGACGTCACGTAAATCTCGTTTGTGTGAAATGTCAATGCCATTAGTGTCATCTGATCAAAAAGTACTTTTGCGCCTAATTTCATTCCATTTCAGCTACAAATAAAAGTTCGATACCAACTGCAACGACTTTTAAACAAAAATTTGCATTGGTGGGGATTTAAAAATATCTTATTGGCTACGTGTAAATTATCGTAAATATTAGTCCACCGATAATTATCTGCAGACGCAAATCTTTTATTATTTTTTAATAAAAAGGAAACCTTGGAGGGTGGATCAGAAAAATGGCTAAAGTTTGTTTGACCACAAATTTTAAATATTCTGTCCCTGTTTACTCAATTATTTATTAAGATATTTGATTTCTGGGTCAAATTTTACAAAGAGCACTTCTCGATTTCGCACAAACTGTTTGCACAGAAGTCTTCTACAGGACCCCCTGATTACGTTCCTTACCTTCAAAAGTTGTGGAAATGCTTCCTAGTGTCAGAAAAAAAAAATTAGTGTTCGCCCTATGGTTTGCACACTATTAGTTGCGCCGCATGTAGGCAACCAACTACACACACAGTTGAACTCGCACGAATTCCAAAAACTAAATGATCCACGGAGCAAGAAGTGCCACGTTTAGGGGTATGTTTGTAATGGGGTGCAGGGCGCGAAGCGCCCTGCCTCCACTAAAAACCCGATATTACACCTACCCGTGTTGTTGACTATAAAAAGTTAGGTTATGTTCGAAACGACTTCCCATTGAAGAGTGTGCAAATGGGAAATTTAACAATTTTTTTGTGGCAAAGTAAGCATTTCCACAACATTTGAAGGTGAGGAACGTGATCAGCGGGTCCTGTAGAAGAGTTCTGTGCAAACAGTTTGTACGAAATCGAGAAGTGCTCTTTGTAAAATTTTACCGATTTCTGTAAAGCGCAATGGATTTTTTAATACAATTTCTACAAAAAAAAAGTAACTCGTTACAATTACTCATTACTTAAAAATGAATTGAATTCCAGTATTATTAGTGGGACCAAAAAATCTGTAGTCCGGTCATGCCGGAATTACCCAAACGTCAACACGTCAATTCCGTCCTTCGCAACCAACACAAAAGCGTCACCAGCAAAATCCCCTAGAAAGTGTAGGAAGTATTTGCCCCGTTAATTAAAATTTATCACAGAAAATGAGACAAGAACGCATCAACAAACAAAAAAACGCATTGTAAACACAACCCAAGTGATGTTTTGAATACTCCAGTCGTAACAATCAACCACATAACCTAACTTTTACTTGCAACGAAAATGTGGGACTCTACGATGTTTCTAAGCACCCTCACCCCGAAATTCTACGTGGCATTAACAGGCACCTCGTCCCTAATCTCCGGCTTGATTTTAATTTTCGAGTGGTGGTACTTCCGCAAGTACGGGACGAGTTTCATTGAACAAATCTCCCTGAATCACATCAGCCCCTGGATCAGCGGGGTTGAGAACACCGACAATGGGAACTCAAACAATAGCTCTTCGAGCAGCTCGCAAAACAATGTACCTGAATGTAAAGTGTGGCGGAACCCCTTGAATTTGTACCGGGGGGCGGAATACCAGAGGTTTTATTGGGCTACGAATAAGGAGCCTCTGACGTACTACGACATGAACTTGTCGGCGCAGGATCACCAGACTTTTTTCACGTGTGAGGCGGACGGCGGGAAGGCGGAGTACGAAATAATGCAGACGGCCTGGAGGGAAAGAAACCCGATGGTACGGATTAAAGCCGCCCATAGTGCGTTGGAGAAGAGCCCGGAGTGTGCCCCCGCCTACATTTTACTAGCGGAAGAAGAGGCCACGACAATCACCGAAGCCGAGAAAATTCTCAAACAAGCTCTAAAAGTCGCCGAGACGAACTACCGGAAATCGCAGACCATGCAACATCAAGGCAGTTTGATGGAAGCGCAGCACAGGAGGGACACTAACGTGTTAATTTATATAAAGAGACGATTAGCGATGTGTGCTCGTAGGTTAGGAAAGTTAAAAGAGGCAGTGAAGATGTTTCGGGACTTAACAAAGGAAGTACCCCCAATAATGAACGTTTTAAACATTCACGAAAACTTGATTGAGGCGCTACTGGAAATGCAAGCATACGCAGACGTGCAGGCCGTTTTGGCCAAATACGACGATATTTCACTCCCTAAATCGGCAACTATTTGTTACACTGCTGCCCTTCTCAAAGCCCGGATAGTCGCCGATAAATTCTCTCCAGATGTCGCTAGTAAAAGGGGGCTAAACACCGCTGAAATGGCAGCTGTCGAAGCCATACATCGAGCCGTCGAATTCAACCCACACGTTCCTAAATATTTACTAGAAATGAAACCTTTAATCTTGCCCCCAGAGCACGTGTTGAAACGAGGCGACTCTGAAGCCATCGCCTACACGTTTTTTCATTTAGCGCACTGGAAGGCGGTCGATGGGGCTTTGAACCTGCTGCACTGCACGTGGGAAGGTACGTTCCGAATGCTACCCTACCCCTTGGAACGTGGCCACTTATTCTACCCATACCCCACCTGTACAGAGTGCGCAGACCGAGAATTACTACCGTCGTTCCACGAAGTGTCAGTGTATCCCAAGAAGGAGTTGCCGTTTTTTATTATTTTTACGGCTGGGTTGTGTTCGTTCACGGCCCTTTTGACTCTCTTGACCCACCAGTACCCAGAACCCATGGGTGTGGTTGCCAAAGCCGTTCTCAGTTGGTTGTCTACGCCTGTGTATTTTATTTACGAGAAAGTCGAAAACATGTTGCCGGCGAACTTGTTACAACAGTTGTCGAGGATCTAAGGAGAGTTTCAAAGCCGAGGTTCATTTGTAGTCATTATTTTCAGAGTGGTTAAATCTGTATTGTTTGTTAAATTTTATTGATTTTATTGTTTGTGATTTTTGTTCAAGCGAAGCTGTACTTAATGTATGTAAAGATGTGAATATGCAAAGAAGGGGCTGTTTTATTGCTTGACCTGACTGAACGAAATTAGCAAGAAGTTGCGCTTTTGCAATTTTCAATTTCGCGGTTCCCGGCAACCTAACCTCAAAACTATAAACCAAAGATGTCTTATTTCTAGACGGGCGATTTATAAACTTGTTGACGTTGCTGTTCGCCGTTGACATTGGGTGCTGCCAACTTGAAGGAAAATTACTACTTCCACGAAAACTAAATTTTGATAGAGATAATGATCATCAATCCCCATATTTTATTTAAGTAGCTGCCATCATTTTCTACACTGTATCTTTGCGTCAGTATTTATGCATTGTTAAAGATAGCTCTCGACATTTAAATCAACAAAAAAGGCTTACATTTTGCCCTTTTTTCTTAATATGTGTAGGTACTTATCTTTTCGTAACAAGAAACTTAGAATATGTTTAAAATAGTAAATGTGTATAGGGAAATATCAATTTTGCAATTACGCTCCGCCCCTCGGTGTGACAACGAATGAAAAATTCACCACTATTGATATCAAGACGGATGGGTGGGGCTTCTCTTTTGGTTTCCTTTGTTAACAATACATTGAGTTTTCTTTCTATAACACGATTACTCAATAACATATTTCATACGGTAATTTCTCGTAGAAAAATAATTACAATTAAGTTCCGCCCCCAAAAAATCATCAGAATGAGACAGGGCGGGTAGGCGGGGCTTATATTTTCCCTTTTTCTTTTTTAATATACATAGCCATCTTTTCACTACAAGAAACTTAAAACATTATTAAAATGGTACATTTTTGCAAAGAAATATGGATTTTGCAATTATGAGACGAAGCCAAATTGCAAATTCGATGTTTCCTTATACAAATTTTCCATTTTAAATTTGTTTTAAGTTTCTTGTTATGACAAAAAGTCTACCTACACATATTAAAACAAAAAAGAAAATGTAAGCCCGCCCACCCGCCCTATCTCAATTGTGATGATTTTTTTTATTCGCCAAGAACCGAGGGGGCGGAGCTTAACTCCAAAATATTTATTTCGTTACAAAAAATTAAAAACATGTTTTTGAGTATCGTGTTGTTCAAAAAATACTACGTATATTAAGAAAAAAGGCAAAATATACACCCCGCCCACCCACCCCATCTGGATTGTAATGATTTTTTTAGAAACTTAAACACATTGTAAGGAAATATGGATTTTGCAATTACGCTCCGCTCCTCGGTCTGACAACGAATGAAAAATTCACCACTATTGATATCGAGACGGATGGGCGGGGCTTCTCTTTGGTTTCCTTTGTTAATTAATACATTTAATTTTCTTTGTATAACACGATTACTCAATAACATATTTCATACGGTAATTTCTCGTAGAAAAATAAGGATTTTACAATTAAATTCCGCCCCTCGGATCACGACGAATACATTTTCTTAATATACATAGCCATCTTTTCGTGTACAAGAAACTTAAAACATTATTAAAATGGTACATTTTTGCAAGGAAATATGGATTTTGCAACTATGGGGCGGAGCCAAATTGCCAAATCGATGTTTCCTTATACAAATTTTACATTTTAAATTTGTTTTAAGTTTCTCATTACGACAAAAAGTCTACCGACACATATGAAAACAAAATAAAATGTAACCCCGCCCACCCACCCGGTCTCAATTGTGATGATTTTTTTTATTCGCCAAGAACCGAGGGGGCGGAGCTTAACTGCAAAATACTTATTTCTTTACAAGAAATTAAAAACACGTTTTTGAGTATCGTGTTGTTTAAAAAATACTACATATGTATATTAAGAAAAAAGGCAAAATATACACACATCTGGATTGTAATAATTTTTATTTTAGAAACTTAAAGCACATTGTAAGGAAATATGGATTTTGCAAATAAGCTCCGCCCCTAGGTTTGCCAACCAATGAAAACTTCATTACTATCTAGATCAGGGCAGGTATGGTTTTTGCTTAATATATACAGTATTCTTTGAACAACACGATACTCAAAAAGATGTTTTTAATTTATCGTAGAGAAATAAGGATTTTACAGTTAAGCTCCGCCCCTTTGGCTCACGATGAATAAAAAAAATCATTACAATCGAGACAGGGTGGGTGGGCGGGGTTCTACATTTTGTCTTTTTTTTCTTAATATGTGCAGACTTATTTCGACAATAAGCAACACAAAACATGTCTAAAATGGTAAAGTTTTGTAGTAATCAACTTAAATCCTCCAATGTTCCACTTCACTATTAATTCACGCATACAAATAATTGAAGGTTAACTTTTTTCAATTTATTGGTCAACAACTTATATCGTGTAAAACCCTCTTAAAAGATGAGACTAACTTTTTCAGATGATATACCCTCTAAGAAAATAGAGGGCGGGTGGGCGGGGCTAGTACTTGATAAGGTAAGACTGATTTTGGCAAATCATATACCCCCTGAGGAAATAAAGGGCGGGTGGGCGGGGATAGTATTTGCTAAGATAAGACGGAATAATATTAAGAGTAGTCACTAGAATGAAGAGGGGGTGCGTGAGCTGCTTGCTTATAATACTGAGGTGTGAATTTTGCTCTTTTTGCCCCTGCATTTGGATTAATAGAAATGACTGAATTATAGTCCATAATATCGTCACAGTGGAGCAAACCTGGCGGAAATTTATCAAAAACAAGAATTATTAACACCATTTGACAGACCGCGAAATTTAAAACGGTTTTATGTTGGATTTAAAGCTTGTAATTTATATATAAAATATGGATTTTTAATTTGAATAAAATATAAAATTCAATCAATAAAATCTTATTTAATAATTATTAGTTATATTAATTGACTTTAAACAAAAAGACCACGCCAAGACCACGTGACAACAACGATTTGCGCGCTGTCAACTCTCTGCTGACACAATTTGGTTCCAAACCAGATGATTTTTTTGCGTTACCAACTGCTTTTGCTCCACTCGTACTTTGAGAGAAATATTAATGTTAAAATTAAACTCCGCCTTAATTTTTGTTTTTTTTTTTTAATATATAGAGTTTTCTTTCAACAACAGGATAGTTGAACATATTGTCAGTTTCTTGTTGGGAAAAGAAGACTTCGTATATTAAGAAAAAATGGATCAAATATAAGCCCCGCCCACCCACCCCTTCACAATTGTGATGAATGCTTTATTCATCGTGACCTGAAGGGCGAAGTTTAGTCTGCAAAATCCGCATTTTTCTACACGAAATTACCATATAAAATATGTTTTTAATTGGGGAAAAAAATTTTTGAGAGAAATATTGATGTTAAAATTAAACTCCGCCTTAATTTTTGTTTTTTTTTTTAATATATAGAGTTTTCTTTCAACAACAGGACAGTTGAACATATTGTCAGTTTCTTGTTGGGAAAAGAAGACTTCATATATTAGCAAAAAATTGACCAAATATAAGCCCCGCCCACCCACCCGTTCTCAATTGTGATGAATGCTTTATTCATCGTGAGATGAAGGGCGGAGTTTACTCTGCAAAATCCCCATTTCTCTACAAGAAATTACCTAACGAAATATGTTTTAAAAGGGTAAAATTTTTTAGAGAAATATTGATGTTACAATTAAATTCCGCCCTTTGGTCTGATTACGAATGAAAAACTCATCATCATTGAGATCGAGACAGGTGGGTGGGGCTTAATTTTTGTTTTTTTTTTTAATACATAGAGGTTTCTTTCAAACACAGGATAGTTAAATATTTTGTCAGTTTCTTATTGGAAAAAAGTATATTAAAGAAAAATGGACCAAATATAATGAATGTGATTTTATTTTCCGAACTTATTTCAGTCACTCGGTATATACACATAAAATTATACATTTTTTGTTATTTCAGGAACAGCTGTTCTTAATATACATAGTATTCTTTGAACAACACGATACTCAAAAACATGTTTTTAATTTCTCGTAGAGAAATAAGGATTTTGCAATTAAGCTCCGCCCTCTTGGCTCACGACGAATAAAAAAAATCATCACAATCGAGATAGGGTGGGTGGGCGGGGTCTACATTTTGCCCCCTAATAATGGGAACAAGAAAAATGTGGGACTTGTGTTCCGTTGAGAGTTCTCAACGGCCATATTGTATTTATTTTTATATTACCTAGGAATTTATATTTCTTTTAACGGTTTCTTCTGTTCATCGTATTAAAATATTTGATGACGTCATCTCAAAATTTTTAAATAAAGTATTATGTTTTTCTATTTATGGTTCAATATACATAAGATATTTTCATAAAAAATATAAATAAAATGTATACAATTTTTATTTCTCTAATTTAAGAATCTATAAAATTAATTTATGGAATCTGGGCAAGATGCCAATGTTAAATAAACGTTGATAATATTTAATATCAGCAAGAGAAAAAAGTTAAAGATTGGAGTTATACACTACAATTACATTATTTTCAACTATACAGATTGTTCTGTTTTTAAGGCGTAACACACAACTTAATTTTGTCAAATGAAATACTCCGTACAATTTTGCATGTTATGATTGACCTCTTCTTAGCTTTATAACCGCAGTTTAATTTTGAAATTCCCATACGATGTTGCCACGTTATTTCAATTTCCTTCTTTTTTAGTAATCGAACGTTTTAAAATCTGTGTTACAATATTTTGTGGATAGATAAGCAAAGGTACGCACTTTCTTGTGATTATACAAAGTGTTTATAAAAATTTTTTGATTTTTACTTCCCGAGCGTAAGCTATCTTATCTTTTTTTTAATATATAGAGTTTTCTTTCAACAGCAGGATAGTTAAACATGTTTTCAGTTTTTTGTTGGGAAAAAAAGACTTCATATATTAAGAAAAAAATGGACAAAATATAAGCCCCGCCCACCCACCCCTCCGCAATTGTAATGAATGCTTTATTCGTCGTAAGCTGAAGGGCGGAGTTTAGTTGCAAAATCCTCATTTCTCTACAAGAAATTATCATGTGAAATATGTTTTTAAAAGGGTAGATTTTTTTATAGAAATATTGAAGTTACAATTAAACTCCGGCCCGAAGGGTCTGATTAGGAATGAAAAACTCATCACAATTGAGATCGGGGCTGGTGGGGGGGCTTAATCTTTGTTTTTTTTTTCTTTATATGCCTACGTAGTTTTCTTTCAACAATTTTTTGACGCAAAGAACAAGAGATATTATAATAATAATAAAAAAAAAACAAAGTCAATCTATTTATTATTCAATATTATTGGTCTGTACTCCTGTATTTTAAGTCACCTAGAATAACTTGTACTTTCTCGTTTTTTCGAAAAACTAAATAAATGAAAAATCTAAAAAACAAGCCAATAAAACTTATAATGAAGTATTTATTCAAAGATTTGTACAATTTAAAAATATAAACAAACTCTTAATCCCAATACTTAATCAGGCCATCCCACCCAGCTGTCACCAACTTGCTTGGCTCATGTGGGTGCCATAACACACTAATGCAAACATTATCGTGCGCTTTCCACTTCTTGTACAACTTTGTCGTCTTCCAATCCCAAATGTAGCACTTTCCGTCGGCATCCCCAGACACCAAATAACTACAAAAAAAAATTACAATTTAAAAAAAAACAACTAAAAAAATCGCTTACCTCAAATCCGGCGAAAAATCGAGGGTACAAGCATAACCTGCCACCATATGTCCCGTGAACGTCTTCTTCCTATTAATTTTAAACCTGTTCAAAGCCGAAAATATAACAATCTTGTTATCCATGCTCTGACAAGCCAGCCATTTTCCATTCGGTGCTGACGTCACCGCAGGCATACTATGCATTGTAGGGTCGGCGATATACTTCATATCGACCGGAATATCCCACTCCCATACACGCAAACTTTTATCGTCGGACGTGGTCACGAAACGCCGGTTGTCATCCACGAACGTGATACTATTAACAGCACCCAAGTGTCTGTCATACTCTTGAACTATATCGCCAGATCTGGTGTCCCACTACAAAAATGCAAATTTTATGAAATGCATACAACATTTTTTCTACACCACTCACACAAATAATTTTTTTGTCGGAAGTTCCTGCTACAAAGAGGTGTTGTTTGTTCTTGTCGGGGTTAAATTTAACACAGTAGGGGATTTTGCGGCTGGAAAAGCGCCGAACAACTTGACCCGTTTCGGTATCCCATAATTTAATATAACGATCGTAGGCTGAAAATTATGGTAATTAGTACTAGAGTGGATGGGAAGGTTTCTGGTACCTGCTGAAAGGAAGAATTTTCCTGAATTATTGAAACAAATGTCTCTGACGGCTTGTTTATGTCCGTGGTAGGTCCGGACACACCTCCTCTCATTGTATACTTCCCACAACTATAATTTATTTATTTATTTATTTTTAATGGTAAATAATAAACCTATAATTAGTACCTTAATTCGACAATCCATACTAGCTGATAATAATAAATGTGCCGTCCTTGGGAACCACCGTATCGCCGCAATCCCTTTGGAATGCCCAGACCACGTATGAATATGTGCTTTGGGCAAAAAGCACCTCTCTGGAGGGCTATCCGACTTCAAATTAACCCCCACATCTTGCGGAGGATGCAAGAAACTCCGTCCTTGATAATCCACCGAATCTGAAACTGCACCCCCAATCAAAACCCGCTCAATCACCACCCACCACTTACTATGAAGAATGGATTTCTCTTCAATTGGTTTCTCTTCCGTCGGTTTCCCTTTCTTGTTCCTCTTCGCAGCCAATTCCTCCAACTCCGCCGCTTCTTCCTCCGACGGTTTCATCACCCTTTGTTCATCCACGAACCCACCCCACGGCCCCAAAAACCCCTCGATATCACTCGGATCGTTATTCTTCTTCCGTTTCCTCTTATCCAACGGCCTCAATTTCGTCGACTCGAACACCGTCTTCGCGTCCGCATTAACGTCCTCACTTTGTCCAGTCGTAGTGACAACTTTCGTGCCTTCAGCTAACCCCCCCACGGTGGGGTCCAACGCGTAGCCAAAACTGTTGAACGTCCGTCTTTGATTCTCGAATTGGAATTCACTGACGTAGGCCGGTTCGACGTAGCCGGAAAGCATATTTCTGGCGGCTTGTTGCTGTTGGGTTTTGAAGGGGTTTTCCGGGCCCACCATGGGTGAAAAGAGCTCTTCGAATTTTGGGTTGAAGGTCACTTCGCTAGCGCTGGGGTCGATGTGGTTAATGCATTCTTCGGAGCCCTAGATAGTGTGTTAGTGACTGGAAGAGTGAAAATGGGGGACTTACGGTTGGGAGGACGATGGGGGCTGCGCAGATCTGCATGTTGGTTTTGAGCGAAAATTCGCTGCTTGTTGGGGGCTCCGGAAGGGTAACTTGTTCATCGTCACTGTCACCGTAGGTCTGCAGTGCCTGCATTGTTGGTAATGTTTGTGAAGTGTGCGAAAACTAATACTTTATAAACTAGCAAACACACAACATAACCTCTATCATACTGGCGTTGACAGAATTGATGATCAAAAGTCACTAGTCTAGGGATTTTGTGTCACGAACTGTCGTTTTTGCAGGGGTGCTCTGATCAAAGTAAAGCCAGTAGAGAAACACACAGAGAATCCAAAATAAAAAAAAGAAAAGTATTATTTACCACCAGTAGTTCTGAAGCAATAATAATTACAGCAATTTTGTAATCAAACAACATGTTTTGACACTGACTTTTGTTTTGATATTTCAATAGTTCTTTAAATATTTTGACCATTTGACCTTTTGAATTGTTGCGTTTTTGGCCTTTTGGCTTCTACGACCTTTTGATTTTCCTCCATTTTGACCTTTCACCTTTTTATTTTTTTAGTTTCTGAAAATTTCAGATTTTCACCTTTTGATGTTGACTTTCATTCAGTTTGATATTTCAGTTTTCACCCTTTGAGTTGTTTTTTTTACCCATTGATCTTTTAATCTTCTGACTGTTTTTTTTTTTTTGACATATTCAACTTTTGTGGTTTTTTATTTTTTGACTTTTCGAATATTTGTTTTTTTGGTTTTTTGTCCTTTTGACATTTTGATTTTTTCAGATTTTGATTCTTGGATTTTTGAAATTTTGGACTTCGCCCTTTTGAGCTTTCGAGTTTTTTATTTTTTGAGCTTTTGAGTTTTTTATTTTTTGAGCTTTAGATTTTTTTTATCTTATGACTGTTCAATTTTTTTATTTTTTAACCTTTCTAATTTTTTGACATTTAATTTTTTTTCTGTTTTTGTGACTTGATTTTTTGACCTTGTGACTTTTTAATTTTTATTTGATTGATCATTTGATGTTTTGATTTTTCGAACATTTGTTCCTGTTTTTTTATTTTTTGAGTTCTTGACATTTTTTAAATTTTTTGACCTTTTAACAATTTCCTTTATTGATTTTTTGAGCTTTTTCTCCTTATGGCTTTTTATTTTTTGACCCTCTAACGTTTTGTTTTTGTGACTTTTTGACAGTTTAATTTTTTTATTTTTTGAAATTTTCACCTGACGGCTTTTTTAATTTTTTGACCGTTTGACCTCTTTTGTGACTTGATTTTTTGATCTTGTGATTTTTTAATTTTTGATTTTTCAAACTTTTGTCCCTGTTTTTCATTTTTTGAATTCTTGACATTTTTTTATCTTTTGACCATTTAACATTTTAACCTTTTGTCGTTATGGTTTTTTATTTTTTGGCTCTTTTGATTCTTTGATGTGTTGAATTTTGTCCTTAATTTTTTTCATTTTGTTATAAATGCTTTATTTCTTCACCTTTCCTTGTTTTGTTTTACGATTTTTTACCTATAGATGATTTTTCGTTTTGATTTTTGATCTTTTGACCTTCAATTTTTGGTTTTTATTTGTTTGAACTTTCGAACTTTGGTTTTTTATTTAACTTTATGACTTTTTTAATTTTTGTGACCTTTGATCTTTTGTTTTTTTTTGGGGATTTTAAGCTTTTATTTACTTCTGGACCTATTGATTTTTTGATTTTTTACTTTTTTATCTTCTGATTCTTTAATTTGTTGAATTTTGTCTTGTATTTTTTATTTTTTGACTTTTAGCTTTAGTCTCTTTGATTTGTTCAACTTTTGTCTGTCTGTTTTTTACTTTCCAAATTTTTGATCTTTTGTTTTGTGACTTTTTGACTTTTTGATTTTTATTTTTTGACTTTTTGATTTATTGAACTTTTGTCTATTTTTTTTGTTTTTTGTCTTTTTCTGTTTGTAAATATTTATATAAGTGGCCTGTCCGTTAATAAAGTTTATTATTATTATTATTATTAATGTTTTCTATTCTTTAATATTTTGATCTTTTGTTTCGTGACTTTTTGATCTTTTGATATTTTGACCTTCCGATTTTTTCATTATTTAACTCTTAGCTTTTGATTCTTTAATTTGTTGAATTTTGTCGTTATATTTTTTTGAACTTTTGTCTTTGTTTTTTATTTTTTAACCCTTAGATCATTTGTTTGGTAACCTTATGATCTTTTGGTTTCCGATTTTTTATTTTTTGACTCTTGACATTATTTACTTTTATGTTTTTTAATTTTTGATTTTTCAAATGTTTGTTTTTTTGGTTTTTTGACTTTCTGATTCCTGGATATTTTGAAACTCTGGACTTTTGGCTTTTCGACGTTTGAATTTCATTTAGATATTTCAGCATGTGGTTCTTAAACTGTTTGGCCTTTTGACTTTTTGATTTTTCACTTTTTGATCTTCTAGGGTTTTTGTTTTTTTGATCTTTCGACTTTTTGTTTTTTTTTTGACATTTTGAGCTTCTAGTTTTTCTTATTTGACCTTTTAACCTATTGTTTTTCCACACTTTTTAAACTTACTTTTTTACGTTTTGACCACTTTAGTTTTTGACCTCTTGACATTTTGTTTTTTTATTTTTTGAAATTTTCACCCGACGTCTTTTTTATTTTTTGACCTTTTGATGTTCTGTTTTTGACTTGATTTTTTGACCTTGTGACTTTTAAATTTTTTATTTGATTGATCATTTGATGTTTTGAGTTTTCGAACTTTTGTTCCTGTTTTTTTATTTTTTGAGTTCTTGACACTTTTAAAATTTTTTGGCCTTTTAACAATTTGCTTTATTGATTTTTTGACCTTTTTCTCCTCTTGGCTTTTGATTTTTTGACCCTCTAACGTTTTGTTTTTGTGACTTTTTGACCGTTTAATTTTTTTATTTTTGAAATTTTCACTTGACGGCTTTTTTAATTTTTTGACCGTTTGGCCTTCTCTTTTGTGATTTGATTTTTTGATCTTGTGATTTTTTAATTTTTGATTTTTCGAAATTTTGTCCCTGTTTTTAATTTTTTGAATTCTTGACATTTTTTTATCTTTTGACCTTTTAACATTTTAACCTTTTGTCGTTATGGTTTTTTATTTTTTGGCTCTTTTGATTCTTTGATGTGTTGAATTTTGTCCTTAATTTTTTTTATTTTGTTATTAATGCTTTATTTTTTCCCCTTTTCTTGTTTTGTTTTACGATTTTTTACCTATAGATGATTTTTCGTTTTGATTTTTGATCTTTTGGCCCTCGATTTTTGGTTTTTATTTGTTTGAACTTTCAAACTTTGGTTTTTTATTTAACTTTATGACTTTTTTAATTTTTGTGACCTTTGATCTTTTGTTTTTTTTTTGGGGGGGTGAAATTAAGCTTTTATTTACTTCTGGACCTACTGATTTTTTGATTTTTTACTTTTTTAACTTCTGATTCTTTAACTTGTTCAATTTTGTCTTGTATTTTTTATTTTTTGACTTTTAAATTTAGTCTCTTTGATTTGTTCAACTTTTGTCTGTCTGTTTTTTACTTTCCAACTTTTTGATCTTTTGTTTTGTGACTTGTTGACTTTTTGATTTTTATTTTTTGACTTTTTGGCTTTTGACTTTTTGATTTATTGAACATTTGTCTATTTTTTTTGTTTTTTGTCTTTTTCTGTTTGTAAATATTTATGTAAATGGACTGTCCGTTAATAAACTTTATTACTATTATTATTATTAATGTTTTTTATTTTTTAATATTTTGATCTTTTGTTTTGTGACTTTTTGATCTTTTGATATTTTGACCTTCCGATTTTTTCATTATTTGACTCTTTTAGCTTTTGATTCTTTAATTTGTTGAATTTTGTCGTTATATTTTTTTGAACTTTTGTCTTTGTTTTTTATTTTTTAACCCTTAGATCATTTGTTTGGTAATTTTATGATCTTTTGGTTTCCGATTTTTTTATTTTTTGACTTTTGACATTATGAACTTTTGTGTTTTTTTAATTTTTGATTTTTCGAATGTTTGTTTTTTTGGTTTTTTTGGTTTTTTGACTTTCTGATTCCTGGATCTTTTGAAACTTTGGACTTTTGGCCTTTCGACGTTTGAATTTCATTTTGATATTTCAGCATGTAGTTCTTAAACTGTTTGGCCTTTTGACTTTTTGATTTTTCACTTTTTGATCTTCTAACGTTTCTGTTTTTTTGATCTTTCGACTTTTTGTTTTTTTGACATTTTGAGCTTCTAGTTTTTCTTATTGCACCTTTTGACCTATTGTTTTTCCACACTTTTTAAACTTACTTTTTTACGTTTTGACCTCTTTAGTTTTTGACCTCTTGACATTTTGTTTTTTATTTTTTTAAATTATCACCCGACGTCATTTTTATTTTTTGATCTTTTGATCTTCTGTGTTTGTGACTTGATTTTTTGACCTTGTGACTTTTTAATTTTTTATTTGATTGATCATTTGATCTTTTGATTTTTCGAACTTTCGTTCCTATGTTTTAAAGAAAAATAAGGATTTTGCAACTAAGCTTCGCCTCCTTGCCAACAACGAATAAAGAAAAATTGTCACAACTGAGACAGGGCGGGTGGGCGGGGCTTATAATTAGACTTTTTTCTTCTTCTTCATATACATACTCTTCACAACAAAAGACTGAAAACATGTTTAAAATGGTAAATTTTGTCTTCCACACTTCTCTACAAATTTACCATTTTAAACAAGTTTTCAGTTTCTTGTTGTGAATAAAAGACTGCGCACATCTAAGAAAAAAAGAGACAAAATACATACCCCGCCCACCCACCCTCATCTCAATTGTGACGAATTTACTTATTCGTTGTGAATCGAGGGGCGGAGCTTAATTTTGGTTTGCTTTGTTTCTTACTTAAAACTTTTCTATGAACAACACGTTTACTTAAGAACATCTTTCACATGATAATTTCTCGTCGAAAAATAAGGATTTTGCAATTAAGCTCCGCCTCGTTGCCAACAACGAATAAAGAAAAATTGTCACGACTGAGACAGGGCGGGTGGGCGGGGCTTATAATTTGACTTGTTTTTTCTTCTTAATATAGACATTCTTCACAACAAACGACTGAAAACATGTTTAAAATGGTAAATTTTGCCTTCCACACTTGTCTACAAATTTACCATTTTAAACAAGTTTTCAGTTTCTTGTTGTGAATAAAAGACTGCGCACATATAAGAAAAAAAGAGACAAAATACATACCCCGCCCACCCACCCTCATCTC